GACCTGTCAAAAAAAACAGTGTTTAAAACTTCTACAAATCGTTATCACCCCCAGAGCAATCCCAGGCTTACTTCTGCCCCCCACCCTCCGAGACAATACGTGACCCTCGGAGGGGCATCGGCACGTGCCCTCACACATCGACTTATCGCAACTTTTACTGGCCATTTTCCGGAGTGGAGTTTGTGCTTAATTTTGGGATTATTGATCGGAATTCCTTATTGGATCTGACCCCTAGACTTATGTGGACCTAGGTTTAGACTTGGGCTTAGGCTTAGGCTTAGGCTTAAATTTTAACTTCGCGCTTGAAGCCAACTCGTGGCAAGGAACCTGTCAACCTCTTGCTCATCGTGATCTCATGCTCATTCACGTACCTGCTTTTTATATGTCAGCTTTTTCACTTTTCAGCATTTTGACTATGTTTGAGACCAAAGACCAGAATTTTACGCAACCATCAGCTAGTTTGAGAAGTGTTCCGGGCCGGTATTTTGGAATGCCGGCATTCCACAAGCCATATTTGTTTGTCGGCATTCAAAAATTCGACTTTACGGCACTCCTACTGTCAAAATTTCGACGGTTTTCCATCTTAAAAGCACCATCCTATGCCTCCTGAATTCCATAGTACACTCCCTGACGCTCCATCCGTTTAAAACACTACGAGACTGCCTACGAGGCTGTTTGTCGGGGGTTTCGGAGGTCGCGCTGGTCGGGGGTCGAGGCCAATTTCCTGAATTCTGAAATCCCATCTGGGCAAAAGGGCCTCAGGGCTCGATTTCCGAGTACATACAAAGCCACCAAATCCCATCCTACCCTCCCACCACCCTCGCCCTATTGGGGGTAGTTTAAAGGGGTGGGACAGATCGGCTCGACATATTTTTAGCTAGCTCTCTGTCTCTCTCTGTCACTCTCACACTCTCTCTCGCTCTCTCGCTTCCAGTATGTCTCTCCGTCTCGCTCTGATCTTCGGCATGCTAGCAGAGATTTTTTGGGACCGGGCAGGCTAGCAGAGTCCTTAAGGAGATCCGACGATGTCACTGACCGTTCACTCGCTCTGTTGCTCTCTCGCTCTCGCTCGCTCAGTCTCTCTCCCTGTATCTCCCTGTCTCTCCCTGTCTCTCCCTCTCTCGCTCTCGCTCTCTCTTTCTCTCACTCTCTCTCTCTCTATCTCTCTCTCTCTTCTCTCTTTCCAAATTTGTTGCAACCCGAAAAAACCCCCAAGAATAGGCGGCTTATCACCTCCCAAAAAAATGCAGAAGCCGTGTGTGGCAAAATTCGCAATTGGCGGCCATTTTGCGGTTTTGTGTAGCAGCAGCCGTAGATGCTAGGTGGTTGCGGCGGAGTGTGGCAGAGATAAGTGCCGCCAAATGATCTCCCCCGTCCATGGGCCCCTGCAAACAAAGGATCTCTTTCCATCTTTTTGCCATATTTTTCGGCTCTTTTCCGAAAAATTCCGCATAGCGCCAATCGACGACGACATTCACCCCCACCCTCGTTCGCTAGCTTATTCAATTTCATCTCGAGCGCCTTGGCAATGACTTCATTTCGGGGCCGGGTTCTTTTAGGGCTTAGGTTTAGGCTTGGCTTGCGCTTAGCTTAACCTAAGGCTTGACTTGGACTCAGGGTTGGCTCAGGCTTAAGGTTGGCTTCATTTCTCTCTCTCGCTCTCTCTCACTCTCTCTTTCGCGCTCCCTCTATATGATAACAATAATAATTTATTCAACACTAAGATTTCAATGAGAAACATTTTTTTTGTTTTTCTAGCCCTCTCTCTGTCTCCCTCGCCCGCTATCTCTCTTGCTGTCGCTCTCTCTCTCTCTCTCTCTCTCTCTCTCTCTCTCTCTCTCTCTCTCTCTCTCTGGCTCCAGACACACCAAAAGTCATAAGATTTTGCACTCGGAATGCGAAATGAGATTAGGGAAGCATTTCCTCGGGACAGCCATATTAATTATACCCCGGGGCTACCAGATCATGGCCCGAAAATTACCCCCGCTCGGAAATCGCAAGAAAAAAAAAGAAAAAGGGCTCCGGCTGGGCCCGCGGTGCACTCAATAACGTTCGCCCACGCTTTGTTGCGAAATTTGAATGCCATATACCGCTACACCTTAGAGCAGGAGGGCTAGATCGAAAGAGAGTGGGGAGAGATAGAAAGAGAGCGAGAGAGAGTGGGAGAGGGAGAGAGAGAGAGAGAGAGAGAGAGAGAGAGAGAGAGAGCGAGAGAGAGAGGGACAGAGAAAGAGAAAGTAGAGAGAAAGAGAGATGCTGATTTGCAATCTCTATCTTTATTTATTTTCTCTGGTTATCTCTCTCTCTCTCTATCACCTCTCTCGCACTCTTTAGGCCTCTCGCTCCCTAGCCGGAGTTTGAACCCAAGCGTCTTCTCCTAGTGGGGCCAATTAGGAGAAGCTTAGACGCAACACTCCTCTTCTCAAAGTTGGTATGAGAGTTAGAGAGAGAGAGAGAGAGAGAGAGAGAGAGAGAGAGAGCGAGAGAGATAGCCTGGGTAATTAGGGTCACGTTTCTTCTTACGCGCTTTTTATCCGGGAGGGGGAATTATTCTGCAACACTCGTCGTGGTTTAGCGTTATTTGATTCTATACTTGAAAATTTCGGGATATCACCGTGCCTTGCCTTCCAAATTCTGTCGATATTCCAAGAAAATTAAGATAAACTGGTAAAAATTCCCAATTTTTGAAAGCCAAGCATTGTGTTTTATGCTAGTTCTGCCTCTTTTTTGCCAGTTAAAATTCATTAAAAAGTGCTAATCCAATCAATTCGCGTGCGCTCTTTTTAGCCCCTTGGGGCCCCGAGGGTATTGCCTTGCAGAATTCCCACGGTCACCTGATTTCTTTTGCGTTACTTTGAAGATAGGAAAAAACAGCTGATTTTTCGGGTTTCAGAGGAGATCTACCACGTTTAATAAGATTTCGGTTGTTTTAAAAGCTTCCCAGGCCCCGCCCATCCGCTCTGACGTCTCCAGGATAGTCTCGGAAATTAGACCCAAAAATACCTTTCAAAATAGCATGTGCACCGATTTTCCGTATCATCGCACACTGGCAACATCTTGGCCTAGCCGTGGACCCAGTTGGCTGCCCGAAAGAGGGTTCGGAAATTGCCCTCGTTTCTAGATTCTTACGTCTTTTCGGGCCCTTGTTTTTGCATTTGCTCTCTCTCTCTCTCACTCTCTCTCTCTCTAGCTCTCGTTCGTGGCATTTTTTGAGAGAGGGCTGTGAGGACGAGAGAGATAGAGAGGGCGAGAGATAGTGAGAGCGAGAATGAGAGTGCCAGAGCGACAGAACGAGAGAAGCGTCCAGGCATAGAGAGAGCGTGAGAAAGAGAGAGGGAGAGAGAGAGCCCGAACACAATCTGCAAGACGGCCATTTATTGGAACTCCCTGGAGTCCGTTTTGCTCCTTTCGACACTCCACCGGAATCCATCCTCCACCGCAAATATCATTAACCGCGGCCGCAATATTACCCACGTGGGGTGGGTCAGGCTCGAAAAATGCGTATTCCAACACCTCTAAGAGCTCTTGGATCATTCTTAGAGGACCAAGCATTAATGTTAGTTCCATTTTTTGCGTAAATTTTCCTGTTTTGACTTTTAGAAAAGCGTTTTTCCATAATCCGTGCTGCCAAAAATTAACTTCCCGCTTCCATCCACTTTTTGTAGTCGTGCAGAAAAAAAAATTCGTGACCTCTTTCGGGGCCCAAAAATGGCAGGTGGAATTGGGGTAGAGACTCTGGCACCAAAATTTCCTTGACGTATTAATGACGTTTCATTTTACGAGGGAATTTGCTTCCATTTCTGTGATTTTCTGCCATAAAGTTCCCATTGTTTCCGTGGTTCTCCTGCGGCCTCGCCCATTTCAAAATCGCGTCATTTGTGTTGGGTGAATTTAGGTATTTGCTGCCTGGGGGGGGGGTTGAGGGATCGAATTTCGAGTCTACTACCTCCAAAACTGGTCTCGCCATCGGTTAACCGGTTCAATATTATGCGGGTTTTGAAATGCCTAATCATATAAATTTAAATACTACATTTTTGGTATATATAGGCTAGACTACGCCACATTACGCTATGCTGCGATCCGTTGTGCTACGATGATGTACGCTTCGATAAGTTCTCGTACGATTCGCTACGGTGGGCTGCGATCCGTTTCGGTGTACGCTGCGACAAAATAAGTTACAATACCCTACGCTACGCTACAATGCACCAAATTTCGATATGCTACGCGGCGCTACGATATGATACCCGATGCTACGTTACGCTACGGTCTGTTGCCTTTCGTAATGGGGAGTTACGCTACGCTGCTTTGTTCTACGGCTCGTTGCGATTCGATACGTTACGCTACGATACGTTACGATACGCTACGATTGCCTAGACGCTACGTTGTACTACAATACCTTATTGAAAACTACGTTTCATTACGCTGCCTTACGTTACGCTATGGTCCGATATGAAGCGCGATCGGTCCTGCTGTACCAGGATGGAATAGAATAACGTTACGCTAAGCTACGTCGCGCTACGCAACGCAATGCTGCGCTATGTTACGTTACGTTACGCTACTCTACCTCAAACTACGCTACGTTACGCTAACTGACGCGTCACGTTGCGCGATGTTGCGTATTTTTTTTGTGTTCTAACCCTTGTCGTTTTGTTGAAGCCCGTGTGTGGGTCAACCCGGAAAGAATGGGATGGGTGGGGGGAATTAGGAAAATAATCGGTGTGAGTGTGCCGGCAGTCTGCTGGCTGATAGCCAATTTTAGCACCTCATATGGGCGCCTATTATCTTTACTGGTCGCGGCGTCTTGGCTCGCTTGCGATTTTAATGGCCACGAAATTGTTATGGATTTTACAAGTTTTGTAGCAAATTTTTACTTTTTCTCATTTTTTAGTATTTTTCCTGGCTTCATCACCAAGCCATATTTTTTCTTGATTTCTCCAGATTTTTGCATCCTTTTCTTTTCGTATCTTTTTTTCATTTTTTTCCCTTTTGCAGCCCGTCCCATGACCGACTTGGACTCGTTGCTAAATGGGACGGCGGAAACGACGATATTCCCCAACGTGACAAACGCCATTTTTGAGGACGAGTTCTGTCCAAATGATCGCTCCCTGCTCGATGAGCCGCAGATCAGGTAGCTTGGCTTGAGACTCTGAAACTAAGCCTAAGCCTCTTAAGCCTAAAAGGGTCCGAGAGGCTTAGGGTCCGAAACCGGACCCTAAGCTAAGCCTCAGCTAAGGCTAAGTTACGCCCAAGCCTAAGCCTAAGTCTAAGCTAAGCCTAAGTCTATGCTAAGCCTAAGTTAAGCCTAAGCTAAGCCTAAGCCTAAGCCTAAACCTGACCCTAAGCTAAGCTACGCTAAGCTAGCTAAGTTACGCCCAAGCCTAAGCCTAAGCTTAAGCTTAAGTCTACGCCTAAGCCTAAGCCTAAGCTTAAGTCTACGCCTAAGCCTAAGCTAAGCCTGAGCTATGCCTAAGGCTAAGAGCCCTTGTTTCAGATACACGTTCTGGGCGCTGTACATCCTTGTGTTTTTCGCCTGCTTGATAGGTGAGTTTTCAGCATTTTTTACTGTTTTCTGCAATTTTAGTCGGTTCTTGTCAATAATTTATATTTAAAGTTTTTGGATTTTTAGCACATTTTTACGTATTTAGGAAATCTTTTTACAATGCTCGTCCTCTGCACCCATCCCCAGATGCGGACGCCCACCAATTTTTTCCTGGCCAATTTGGTGGGTTTGCTAAATTTTTTATTCTTTTTGTATCTTATTGAGATTCTTTTGTGTTTTTAAATCTTGAGAATTTAGAGAATTCTACAAATTAAACCATTTATGGAATAAGTATGCAAATTTAGGCGGGCGCTGACCTGCTCGTCGCCCTGTTTTGCATCCTCCAGAATATGGTGCACATCGTTGGCTACGAGAATGGACGCTGGTTTTTTGGTGGGAAATCGAGAAAAATAATCTAAAATGCCTAAAACTCGCAAAAAAAACATTTTTGAATTTTCTAGCTATAAAAAAATTAGCAAAAACATAAATAAAAACTAAATAGCGTATTTTGAAACGGCCATGGTGTAATTTAAGCAAATTCAGGCGAAGTAATCTGCAAAATCTACCTCTACGTGCTTCATATGGTCCCGTGTACGAGTGTGGGGTAGTTTTGAAGATTATTACGGATCGTAAAATTAAATTTTTAGGATTTTGATGTGTGTTTCGATCGAAAAGTACATTGCTGTACTGCATCCACTCGTCGCATTAAAGGTAGGTCGTTCGGCTTAGCTTTGGCTTAAACTTGGGCCCAGGCTTGGCTTCGGACTGGCTTAGGCTTGGCCTAGGCTTGACTTAGGCTTAGGCTTGGGTTTGGGCCTAGGCTTAGCTTAGGCTTAAGCTTTGGCTTAGGCTTAAGAATCGTCTTCGGCTTTGGCTTAGGCCTAGGCTTAGGCTAAGCTTGGCAAGAGGCTTAGGCTTAGGCTTCGGCTGAGGCTTACATCTTCATACCTGCTTTCCAGATGCTCACCAAGCGACTTCGCATCATACTAGCCATTAGTGTGTGGACAATCTCCCTAATTGCAAATTTCCCCTACCTACGCACCGCCCATCTCTATACGTGGGGCAACGTCTCGGCGTGTGGACGGAACGATACGTTCAGGTACGGCGTACGGTAACCTTTAAGGTCCTTAAATTTAGGCAAGACGTGCTGGTGATCACCTCGTTCATCTTGTGGTACCTAATCCCGGTCCTGATGATGGCGTTCATCTACACGCGAATTGGGCTGGTGTTGTGGAAGAGTGGGCGAGGCGTGAGCAACAGGGCCAGTACCGGTGGGTTATTGGAAATAAGCCGAAGCCAAAGTAAAGTTCAGGCTAAGCCAGAGTCTAAGCCTAAGCTTTTGATCATTCATACGTTTCAGACTCCCAAGTCTCAAATGGCGGCGCCTCGTGGCATATGAGCAGCGGCCGGGTGATCGTCTACCAGCAGAATAGCTTACTACAGGTGCGTTAACTCTTTCGTATTAAATATTACCGTAGGGTAACATACGGTAATGTACGTTGCTGTACGCTGCTGTACGACACTCTACGTCCTCGTACTTTGTTTCGTACAGTCTGGTACGCTATCGTACTTCTTCGGACTGTATGGTGCCGGCTCGTACTGTAGCGCAAAGTCTCGTACACTACCGTAATGCAAACTAAAGGATCGCACGGTATCGGACGCACAGTACAGTAGCGTAGACTTCCGTAACGGACGTACAACTGTTGGTACAAACTAGTAAAGCCTTTTTTAGGTGCCAGACCAGGACCAGCGAAGAGTGGTCGACAGACGCAGAGGAATGAAGGAGAGCAGACGGAAGGTGGGCGGAATTTCATGACGTAACCGCTTTTAAGGTCATTCGTCTGCTCTTCGGGATCGTGCTCGCTTTTGCTGTGCTCACACTACCAAATCATGCGCGGCTGCTTCACTCGGTGTGTTTTTGATCACTTTTCCTCTAGGGGCAGGCTAGCAAAGATTCTTAAAGGGATGCCCAACCTTTTCAGGGCTCAAAAAGCAAAAACCATGCCGCGGGCGGGGTTCGAAACCGGGACGCCCGTTTTGTAGGCCCAGATGGTATCCATTAGGCCATAGTGGCAAGCCATCGGATGGGATGGGAACGCCACAAGAGGGAAAGGGGTCCGAATTCTGTGCGGCTTTGGGGCCCATTGCCGCACACAATTCGCGCGTCATTTGTACTGCCCGGAATACATAACTATATGCCGGCGAAACATTGGGTGTCCCTTTAAGGAGGTTTAGAGCGGTAAGCTAGCATGGATTTTTGGGGAATTGAGGATTTTCGGCGATGTCTGGGGACATGCTAGCAAAGGTTCTTCGCGGAAATCGGGGCTGCAAGAGTCCAACCAGCAGAGATTCTTTGGGAATTACAACTTTTAGAGGCTACCTAGCGGCTATTTTTTTGCGAAATTAGGACCTCAAAGGGCAGGCTAGCAGAGAATTTTACGGAATCTTTCCGTTTTGAGCTTGTTAAACGTTCAGCAGGCAAGCTAGCAAAGGTTCACAAGCGAGAGCCTGAGCCCGAGCTTGAGCTTGAGTTGATGACTCCATTTTCAGACTTTCTCCCGGTCCCAAACTTGCCTCTGGCACTGGACGAGCCTCGTCCAACCAATGTCCTATCTTCTCCTCTTCGCCTCTTCCACCATCAACCCGATTCTCTACGCTTTTCTGTCCAAACGATTCCGCCTGGCTGCTCAGGACGTGTTGCGATGCCGGTAAGGGACTGTACACCTTGAAATAGCTGTACCTCACTTTCCCTCCTGTCCCTCCTACTGTCAACTACCGTACCCCATCCTTCCCTACCGTAACCCCGATCATCTGTCTATAGGCGCTGTCCGTTGTCGTGTCTGCTGTCGGCCGCCGGGTCCCGAACGGCTTCTAGTGATGGCCGCTTTTTTGGTGAGTCGACGCTGTCCAGTCTGGCTATCATTGTTAAGAGCTTTTTAAGCTATTTTAGGCGATTACTGTAGTTTAAAAGTCTCCAAAATGGTTTTTATAGATGGTCGTTACTTGGCAATGCAACGGGCGGGAGTGAGGAACGTTCGCGTGGACGCACCGTATTGAGCAGCTTTGATGAGACGAGGGCCCCTTCGAGGTACGTAAGCGAAGCCTAAGCTTTAGCCTAAGCCTAAGCCTAAGCCTAGCATAAGCCTATGCCTAAGCCTAGGCTAAGCCTAAGCCTAAGCCAAGCACGAACCTAAGCCTACGCCTAAGCCTAGGCATCAGCCCAGGCTTAAGCCTAGGCCGAAATGAGCCAAGCCTAAGTCGCGTCTTTTTTTCAGGGCCTCCCGCTCGCCCTCCCTATCAGCCGTCGCTCAATCCTCCGTGAACTCTGCTCGCCTGCCCCTCCTCCTCGCCACCCACTACGCCCAGCAGGAGATCGAGCTCCGCCGCATGGAGCTGCATCGCCACAACGAGAGGCTAGACCGGGAGCACGAGGTGGAGAGCAGCTTGGCCGAGGAGGAGGCCACCCAGCCGAAGATTCGCTTTGATATCCCGAGGACGGAGGTCACGTTTGTGCCGTAGATTACCTTGTAAGCCGAAGCCTAAGACTAAGCTATGCCTAAGCCTCTTTTCTTGCAAAATACATATTGGTCCTGTTATGGGTATTTTTCGTTTTTGAATTTCTTTAAATTTTCTGATGCTTAATAACCTTAAATTTATACGAAAATCGATACGCAAATGTATGAAAATCCGCCACAATTCCGATTTATCCCCCCAAAAGATTTGATCTCCATGATGCTGTGTGTACAAAAACAATCTCTCTCTCCCAATAGTACGTGTGCTCCGTGCTGTTATTTTGTGCCCTGCGGGTCTTTTGTTTTGGTTGTTCATTTTTATGGAAAAAGAATAAATTAATTTACCTGGAAGATCGAGATAAAGAGACGGAGAGAGAGAGAGAGAGAGAGAGAGAGAGAGAGAAAGCGAGCGAGCAAGCGAGAGAGAGAGTGAGAGAGAGAGAGAGTGAGAGAGAAAGAGAGAGAGCGAGAGAGCGAGAGAGAAAGCGAGCGAGCAAGCGAGAGAGAGAGTGAGAGAGAGAGAGAGTGAGAGAGAAAGAGAGAGAGCGAGAGAGCGCTCAAAATATACAAAAACGTAAAGTCCAAAAATATTTATCTCCAAAAACATCCCAATCAATAGCACATGGCGCAATATCATACAGCAATATGTCGTTTATAGTCTGCAGTATGTAGTCATTAGTTGTAGTTTGTAGTTTCAGTATGAAAATGACAAAAAGTATCATAAAATCGATAGTTGTAGATAGATCGGCAATATAAAGTCAGATAGAATCCTCATTCAGAGACGGGGCATCAGATTTGCGCCTCATAAAATACTCGGGGACGATCACGCTGAGTTCGGCCCGACGTAGTGAGTGGCAGATCTAAATCAACGGGCATCATTAGGTGCATTTTGGAATTTTCAAGTGACCTGCAAGTCAACGTTTCCTTTAATGATACCCAAATAGACCGACGAGCAGGCGGAGTGCGAGGGATCATCTGCAAATAGGCGGCGGGGGCTTTGGGGGTACGGTTTGGCCGATGGGATTTGGGTTTTAAGGGGACCGGAAAGTCTCTCTCTCTTTCTCTCGCTCTCTCTCCCTCTTTCTCTCTCTCGCTCGCTCACTCTCTGGCCTTGCTGGTCCCTTTCAGTGCAAAAATTCAAGAACTCGTGAAAGTTAAAGGTATTTAGAAGCGAAAACAAATCCTTTAGCGACAATTTTTGCTAGCCTGCCCGGTCAGGCTTTGAAATATCCGCAAAAACCTATGCGAGTTTTCCTAGGCTTGCTTAACCCTGAGCCTAAGCCCAAGCCTAAGCTTACTTTTAAACCTAGAGCTAACTCCATACTACAAACTAGGCCAAACCGTCCGCCCATCCACCCCGTCGCCCAAGAAACAATAAGCATTCACTCCAAAACAAAAACGGCACACCAACCTCTTTCTCAATTGAGAAAACCAGCTGACCTTTTATTGGCGAGACTCAAGCTATACGAAGGGGGGAGGGATAAGCATACGGTAAGCGAACACAGCCGGTTAGTATGAAGCATTTGCTAGGAATGCTGAAAGGAGGACAGAGGTGGAAATGGGAAGAGGTGGTGCTCATTTCAAAAAAGGTAGTCAAATTTTTTCCGGGGATAGCGAGAGAGACGGCAAGGGAGAGGGAGAGAGAGAGCGTGTGAGAGCGAGAGAGAGCAAGAGAGAGATACCTTTTGAGGCTGATAACCTTGTCAGCGACCGTAACGGAATGACAGCAAAAAAATGCGTTAATTTGCCTCAAACTTTAAAGGTACAGCGACAGGAAAAATGGCACACGGCAAAGCCAACACCAAAAATTATGCGATTTTTGTCCAATTTCCGACCGTTTTTGATTTTTAGTGCAATAGAGGACAAACTACAAACTATGGATCACAAAATTTCCTTCTATACAAAATTCTATTAAAAAATTACCTGTTTAATGCTCTTATCGTGGTGACCGGAGATCGTAGACGCACTGGCGGATCCATCCTGGGAATCCCGGTGCTCCCGCATGTCTTTGTTTGCCTAAAAATGGGTACGAATTGTATTTTCTAAACTACCGTAGTTTGTATCATTCGTATTTTTAGATTACTACGCTTTCCCGATTCCCCGAATTTTGCTATTCTTTATTTTCGGATTTTGGGAGTGTTTCGACCCTTCCCACGGCCATTCTGAGTTTAGAAATTTCCCGAGCCCCTCTCTCTTTCCCTCTCCCTCTCTACCCCTGTCTCTCTCTCTCCCTCTCTCCCCGTCTCTCTCTCTCCCCACCCTAATCCCCAGAACGTCGGCTACGTGCCGGCGTGAACTTTGCGAACTTTAAGTCCTTTCAAAATTCACGTAAATGATTTTCAAAAGTTCTGCAAATTGAGACATCAAAGGTTAGGAAAAAACTATGGCTTCTGAGCAAATCCAGCAAAAAATTACTTTTCGAATAAGCCCGTTTGCCGCCAGCCCGACGATCATCCGGTCCACAATGTCGGTCAGGATCTAAAATTTTTCAAGTTTTCATTTTTTTTTCAGGTTTTTCAATCTATCGATCTAAAATCGATAGGTTGAAAAACTGTGTAAACTGAATTTGCATAACCCCCACGTTTTAGAGGCACAAATAAAACGCAATCCCGACAAAAAACCTTAACGCTAGATTGTGTAAAAGGAAGATTAAAAAAAATCGAAAATTCATATTTCCCACCTCCCTCCACAAAATGATTGCCGAGTCGGTCTCCCGGGAGTCCATTCCCTTCTTGTTCGCTCTAAAAAAAACGTTGGAATTCCATTTGCATCCTCAAGACATTTTAAAGGGTTAGAGAACCCAAGCAAAAGATTGGTATCGGTAGTGCTAGCAGAGAAACTTTGCGGAAATGATTGCAGCAGATTAGTGACGGTGTTTTTTTTTCAAAAATGACGAATGCAGCGACAGGTTTTTGGGTACGGACAGTTAGGTTTAAGCTTGAAATTGCGTTAATAATGTCGATAAAAATTTACGAATTAATGGATAGCGTATGGGTTAGCCTGCAAGTTAGTTTTTGCGTTTTAAAGGGACCGGGAAGGCAAGTTATTTCTCTCTCTCTCTTTCTCTCGCACTTGCTCTCTCTCCCACTCTCTCTCCCTATCGCTCTCCCGCTCTCTCCCGCTCTCGCTTTTTTTCAAACCTCCTTAAATTTCCTTTCTTTACACTTTACACCTACCTCGTGCTGAATTTTCGCTCTCGACCACTAAATTTTAGGTTTTAAGCTAATTTTGGGCAAGTTAGCTTAGGCTAAGGCTAGGCTTGGACTTAGGCCGAGGCCAAGCTGAGCAGGCTTAGGAGGCGGAGGCTTAGGAGGCTTAGAAGGCGGAGGGTTAGGAGGCTGAGGAGGCAAAGGAGGCTGAGGTCTGGGCTTCAGCTTAGCTTAGGCCTAAACCTACTTTCTGTCGGCTCGGATAGCTTTGCGGAAGTGGAAGAGGGTGCACTCCTTGAAGACGCCCCAGTAGTGCGGTCTGGAATTGAATAGAAACGTTGAAGCCTCGGTCTAAGCCTAAGCTTAAGCCCAGGCTTTGAAAAGGTCTTTTCCACGATTTCTTTCTCTCTCGCTCGCTCTCTCTCTCTCTCTCTCTCTCGCCTTGCGTACCCTCGTACTCAGACGTTCAAAGACCAACTGGATGCTCTTAATTTCCGTTCTACTCCTAAGGACCCATACTACTCCTTTCTCACGCTGATCAGTGGCCCTGCTCAGGGCCCAATTCACAGACCAAGCTTCTGAACATAATATTTCCCACGTACCCAGACGGAGCATTGATCCGGGAAGTTGCAGATAAGTTTGAATTTGGATTAGTCAGAAGCTTAGGCCCAGGCTTGGGCTTAGGCTTAGACGAAAGCTTAGGTTTAGGCTTGTAGGCTGAAGCTCGGGATCACCTAAATCCGAGTTGCTCCTCGTGCCGCGCGTGCAGCTTTCCCAAGTTGAGCAACAACCCGTCGAGCTCCTCTGGTGTCTCCAGGTACAGGATCGTGCTCTCGATTATCTGAAAAATTCTGCAAAATAGGAATGGGATCAGAGTTGTCTGCCCAGCTATTTTTACACATTTCTGCTTCCGGTCGCGCTTCCGGTCTCAACTGCGGTCAGAATGCGGTGAAATCCGGGAATTTCGTTACTGTAAGGAGGTGTACGATGTAATCACTTGATCTTTATCTCTCTCACTCGCTCGCTCTCTCTCTCTCTTTCTCTCTCTCTCTCTCTCTCTCTCTCTCTCTCTCTCTCTCTCCCCGTTTACCTGCAAAAACCGCAAAGCATGAAACGAAAATTCCGATTTCGACTTGGCCGGATCGTCCTGAAAAGCTACCATATCCCAGGTTTTCAAAAATTCCGTTACTTTCCGCTCGTTGATCATAAAGCTGAACATCAACTTGGCGTCCGGGGCCAGCTCGAAGATCATTTGGAAAATGTTGCACGCCAGGGGCTCTTTTTCTCTGAGAAAGCATGAATTAATCTATCGGAAGGCCGGAAAATCCGTAGGAAATTCTCGCTTATCAGAGCCTTTAGAAAACGAATAAGTTACCGTACTTGCTGACGATGGCCCAGGATCGTCGGAGGATCTCCTTGTCCGCCTCCGTCAACCGTTTCATAATGTCCATCATGGAAGCTAAAAAATAGGGGGCTTAGGCTTAGCTTAGGCTTAGCTTAGGCTTAGCTTAGGCTTTGCTTAGGCTTAGTTTAGGTTTTGCTTAGGCTTAGCTTAGGCTTAGCTTAGGCTTAGCTTAGGCTTAGCTTAGGCTTAGCTTAGGCTTAGCTTAGGCTTAGCTTAGGCTTAGCTTAGGCTTAGCTTAGGCTTAGCTTAGGCTTAGCTTAGGCTTAGCTTAGGCTTGGGCTTGGGCCGAAGCATCACCTAAGCTGAAATACAAACAAAAACAAACGACAGAGCGAATACAAAAACATAGAGAAAAACTAGAAAAATATGCTTAAAACCCAGAAAATCAAGAGTCTCAAGGCTTAAAAATTTAAGAATGAATCGAAGCGGCTGCTTAATTTCACGATACCAGGCAGTACATTGGTTCCCTGGGAGCTGTGAAAATGACCGCGGCGCTCCAAATTACGCTGGGAATTCTGGGCGTATTGTGCCGGAAGAAAGGCATTTCCCGGAAGGCAGCATGTCAACGCATTAAAGGGTAGTTTTAGGGAACTTGATCTGGAAGTAGAGAGGGAGAGAGCGAGAGAGAGAGAGGCTGGCAAGCTAGCAGAGATCACTGGCGGAAACCAATTTCCAGCCTGAACTATAACTTGGCCAGGCGCCAAAACCCAATTACAACTTCCATTAATGCGCGAAGCCGACAGCCCATCGCCGGCTAATACCTAAAATGAGCACCCGGATGTCTGAGTGCCCTCACTTGGGGTCTGTTTGTGCAGAAAATGGCCCGAAATGGGGCCTATTACGATGAGGGGATGGCGGAAAGTTTTTAGCGCCGCAGAGGTGAAGCTGCCAATTTATCCTGGAAACTATGGGGGAATCGAAAGGTGTGAAACGGAAGTGTTTTTTGTAGGTACACAAACACTGTTTGAATTCATGAATTACTTTTTAGTCTTAGATGCTGTAGAGAGCTACGGCCAATACGAAGCTGGGGTTAAGCCAAGCCTAACCCAAGCCTAAACTACTCCTAAGCGAATCCTAGTGCAGGCTTCAAAATAGGACTAAGCCTAACCCCAAGGCGAAGCAGAAGCCGAAGGCGAACCACAAACCTAAGTCAACCCGAAGTCGTTACAAAGCCTAAGCATAAGCATAATCATACGGAAAATATAAGCCAAGCGGAAATCAAGGCAGAATCCCAATCCGAAGCGGAAGTAAGCCGAAGCTTGCCGAAGCCAAGTCTACTCAATGTGAAGCCCAAGCCCATGCCTAAGCCTAAGCGTAAGCCCAAGCCTAAGCCGAACCTAAACCTAAGCCTAAATAGAAATCGAACCCAACCTTTATCAAAATCCAAAGTATCAGCCTAAACCTCCGTCCAGGAATTCGGGAGCGCCAGAAAAGTTTAAAAGCCCCCCCGAAAAGAGAGATGGGCGGAATGAGACCTCTGGGACCCAGATGGGAGGAGGAGGCCCCTCCTCCCATTGCCCCATTTTTCAAAGTGGAACGTCGACAACAACTCTCCTTTTTCGAATCAGCATTGATAATGGGGCGAGCAAGGGGAGAGGGGGTGCGCGACACACCAGGCCTTTAGACACCAAAAGACACCAAAAGACGCTGCTTTTGCTGGGGGTTGGCAGCTAGATAAAGCGTCAAAATAGTTTGGAAGCCCCTAGATTTTTCGGTTTCTCCACCAAAAGGACCGACTTTCATCCAAAATTTCGACTTCCAGTTTTTCGTGTTTTAAAGAAAATTTTTTTAATTTTCTTTGTGGTGAAAAATAATTAAATTTTAACAAATATGCTATCGAAATAAACACAATTACCTGACTAGGCATTTCGCAACTCATACAGAAAAATAGGTTTCCTCCCCGCCACCCAACCCCCCGGTAATGCGAAAGCTCCAAAAAAGCTTAAAAACCGGAATTCTTATTCGGACCACCTCAAGAGAACCAAATCTCCCTCGTCCTCCACATTATACTTCCCGCCACCCTTCATTAGCCAAATTTTCTATGGCGTGGATGGAGGGGGAGTGGAGGAGATAGATCTTTTCGAGAGCTAGGGTTGGTTGGCAACATCTTCCGGCCATTCAAAAGCCAAGGAGAGGTTTATGAACCCGTAAAAAGCGAGAGTGAGAGAGAGAGAGAGAGAGAGAGAGAGAGAGAGAGAGAGCAAGAGAGAGGCCGTGTATAATTGACCGCGCCCTTTTGGTGGCGCTCAAAATATAACAATTTTCAAGGGAAAATGAGAAGCTGGTGGATTTCTGGGTTTTGCCGGGTTTCCCGGAAGCAGGCCGGGTTCCAGGGGGTCCGGGGTTGAAATAGTAATAAGCTGTGAAGGGTGGGGAGTACACTACCAAACTATGGACAGCGAAGATTGAAAGCAAAAATAGGGTGAAAATTTAAGCCTAAGCCCTAAACCTAAACCCACCAAATCTAAGGCTAAGCCGAAGCCGAAACCTAAGCCTAGCCTAAGCCTAAGCCCAAGCCTAAGCCCAAGCCTAATCTTAGGCCAAAACCTAAGCCCAAGCCTAAGCCTAGGACTAAGCTAGCTTTTCACGGATCTAATATTTCCAAACAGTTTTCATACGAGTCGATAAAAATAATTTTTAGATTATTAGGTATTCCGATCCGGCCAACAACAACGAAAAGCACCTGAAAACACGCAGATCAACCCCCAAAAATTTGTTGGCCGGCGTTTGTTCCTGTTAACCGGGGCGGCAAGGGATATAAATGGGGAACTGGAATGGCCATCGCTGGCCCCAATATAGGGTCGAATAAATATTGGACGGCCCTTTCCTAGGCCGGGGCTATGGCCGGGTAGCTCTTTTTTGAGGCTCGTTAAGAATGCCGTTGGATTGAGCTGGGATATATGTAGAGGTCCTCAAGAAGAAGCCGTTGACCCGCTGGGTCACCAAAGCTTAGCCTAGGCCTAAGCCCAGGCCAAGCCCAAGCAAAGCTTAAGCTAAGCCTAAGCCCTAAGCCTAAGCCGAAGCCTAGGCCTAAGCAAAGCCTAAGCCTAACCTAGGGCAAGTCAAGTCTCAACCTAAGCACTTGACTTAAAGCAGACGCCCCGATCGACGTCTAGCTACGCTACGCGCCAATGTACGTGCAATTTCCGGGGCGACACTCTACAAAATACTGGCAGAAGATGGTCCCCTCGAGGAGTAGGACCGGAAGCGGTTGCCAAATGGCTTCTAAATCCCTTTAAAGTGCAAAAAGTGAGTGGTTGGTGTTAGAAAAACGAGATTCTGAATGGAATTGGCAGAATTCTCCTCGATGTCCTATTTCCGGTCGGTTGGTAGGTGTTTGTATGAGTGGGAGGGAGAGAGGGAGCGAGAGAGAGAGAGAGAGAGAGAGAGAGAGAGAGAGAGAGAGAGAGAGAGAGAGAGAGAGGCAGGGAGCAAGACGATGCTAATCCCGAGGTCCTTTCGGGACCCCCAAGGGAAAAGCAGTATTAAAGGGATTACTCAAATTGAGGCAGCACCCGCCCTCTTGCCTGGGGTTAGTTAAAGGAAACTGATAAACAATAGGTGGCGCAGATGAAAAGGCCCTTTTCCCGGGTTATAATTACACCGCAAACGCCTACCCCGAACAATTCGTCATTCGGCATGTGCGGACCGGATTAATTTGTACATAGCCGCAACACGACACAAAAAGACTTTGGTTTAGGAGTGGCTGGATCAAGAAAAGGCGAAACTACACGAAAAATCCGGTATCTGTAGTTTTGAGAACCGAATGACCAGGATTTTCACGCCGTTTGAGAGCCCGGAAAACGGATTGGGAAACTTTTATTATCGGCATGTCGAAATTCATTTTGTGGAAATCCATTTTCGCGCATGACCATTTTGACGAAATCTCGAGTGGTTTTGGAAACGTGAATTTGTCGCAAGTTGCTCATTTCAAGCATTTGGAAAATGGAAATGTCTTCAAAATAGAATTACGACAAAATCCAAAGACGATTGAAGCTGGGGAGACGTACCAAGGTTTTTATTTTTCTCGTATTTCATAGCAGATTTTGTGATTGATAAAGCCTCTTACAACGCAAAGGCTTCTACCAGCTAATTTTCAACAACTTCCGGCCGATTCTGAGCGCAGAAACAGACTAGTAGCTGATGGAAATTAGCGTTTTCTTTGCGTTTCGAGTTTTAATTTTCACATTTTTACATTTTGTGAAGCCAATATTTAATTTTTAAACTACTTTAATTTTGAAATCGGCTTTTGATTTATCCTACTATATATAAAAAAATAGTGTCTGTGTGTGTGTGTGTGTGTGTGCCACTTTGCATGCAACTTCCGTCAGGTTGTTCCAGTAGTATCTTAATAAGGGGAGTAGTTAAGGGCATGTTTGATACGTCACTAGGTGCGTAATGGTCTGGGGATGACTGCACGCTAAAAAAATCTTTAAAAATTATATGTTTTTGTTGAAAAATCCAGGACCCTCTTTGTTAGGAAACAATTAGCATGCGCCGGAAGTTGCGGTAGCCTATATAAAGGAAGAGAAGTAGCGTTTCTCATTTTTTGTGATCGAAAATCGTGAGAATTATGCAACGTGAAGAATATCATGGGATCACACGGGGCCAGGGTTGAAAAGTCGCGAAGCGGCTTTTCAACCCTGGTAATTTTTAATTCGTTAAAAATTTTGCTCAGAAACAAACGCATAAATATTCCAGTTCCAGGAAATCCTCATTTTTTTACGCTTTGGTATGAAAATCAGTACGATCCTGCGCTGCCGAGCCCAGATATAAGGCTCTTAGCGGTTGTGTCATTTGAAAAAAAGTGTAGGTTTTTGAGGTGTTTTCAAGCGTGAATCTGTAGTTTGAAACTTTGAAAAAATCGTAGTTTTCCATGTGTGTCTTCCTGCAATGTCCCCATCGATCCCCAACAAGTGTCAACCAATAATTTATTGGAACAATTCAACGGCCCGGCAAAGACCTTAATGGGGGATTATCAAAAAGACGCGTTTTATGACGATGATGCAAATCGGGTAGCGGGGGGTTTCTAATCGAAGACGCCGTCCGGCAGCGGCGGCTACTGCTCGTTCTCCTTTCGCGTCGCCTTCAGCTTCTTCTCGGCCTCGAGGAAGTTGAGGTGCACGGGCATCACCGACTGAACAAAGTGTTTTGGTTCCTTGGCAATATCGGGGGGATAACCGAATTTTTTTGCCAGAAAACCAGAACTCTTTATAAATGTGATACCGAGTATTTTATTATCCTTTCTGCTAAAAATTAGCTAATTTCTAGAGAAGAACTTTCTAAAAAAAAAACTTGAAAAATGAGTTCTGGTGCATTAACCGGGGGGACGGGTTTTAATTGAATTTCATCCTTACAACTAGCTGGTTCAATTCCTTCATCTGGTACTCGCTGGCGCACGGGGAGGCCGGCACGAAGTCGTCCTTGTCGTCAGAAGCACTGAAATCGCACGAATTCATGGATTGTCCTTGTTCATCTACTCGGCGGCGGCCATCTTTGCACGAATCTGCTCGCCGGTCAACTTCTGCAGGTCCTCGGGCCGAATCTGGATGAACATACGCTGATAAAAATGTGGGCGCAAGTGTAGGTTCTGCTTTTACGCCTCAATTTTCATCTTTCTCGCTAGTTTTTCGTTGCAAATATAATGTATTCCCACTAAATAGAAAAATACGAACATTTTGGTATGCTTTAAAGCCCTATAACTCAAAGGGGAGACGAGATAAAGAGCTGAGGCTCAGAGATCCTGACCAAAATTTAACGATCCCAATTACCGTGCAATTTTGCTGCTCTCTGTACTGCTCCTCGGCCTTCTCGTATGTTTGCACGGTTTTTGAGGCTTTCTAAAACGTATGGTTCGGAATACGACGCTAAATCCCTCACCACATCGGTCTTGAAGCGCGAGCCGGCGTCCACCTCGCTGTCGTACTTCCGGGCCACCTGCAGCTCCGGGTCGTCATCGCTGGCGAGGGCATTCTAGGGTGATAAATGGTATTTATCACTTGTAAAATAAACCTTGACCGCTTTCTCCGTCTCTTCGGCGGTCTTTTGCCTCAGATCCTCGGCTGTCAACTGAAAAAATTACAAGATCGCCGGTCCCAAATTTTTGTTTCTCTACTCCTCGTTGGCATACAAGGCTGCAAAGTGTACGAAAATGTTCGTCTTCGTCTTGCGAGTCTTTTAGTATACTTTACAACCTCGTAGCGCAATGATGAGCCGAGAAACAAAAGCGCCGGCTGCGACCGGAAACGGTTTTTTGAAAACCTAAACCAACCTTGCCCCCCGCCTCTTCTGACATGACGCTGAATTGTAGGCGGTGGAAAAGTAAAGCCGCCAGGAGCAAGCAATTGTTTTCTTTTTATCGCCATAATCCTAGGTAGATGTATTCAAATTTCCGTATAAGATGATGTTATTTATTCAATTCATATAAAGGATTCATATTTTTGTATTTAGGGTTTTTTCATCAAAACTGTACACATTTTTGACACGACAGCCGGATCAAGCCATGACGATTGCCGGCGTCGCCGTGGAGGGGCGAGTCGAGTTGTGCTTGGTGCTCTGCAGCACGGCGTTAAGCGAAATGGCTTGTGGGCGCTCGTCGCTGTTCGCCGGGGCTGAAAATAGGTTCGCATTGTTTATTTTGATTTTTAAATGGCTTTTAATGTAGAATGTGGAGGTAAAAAATGTAAGGTGCTAAGCGCTCGTGAATCGACCCCTCCCTTACAGGTTACCTTGTTAGACTAGGTCTCGACGGCAACGCGAAACGCGAAAACGCTGGATTTTAGGGCGCCTAAGTATCTGCGATTCGTAGAAAATCTGACCTATTAAAATTTACTTATGCTTTGCCAGCTTCATGTCGAGAGCTCTCAAGAGGTTACGGTCGTTGTGCATGCTAACCAGTGCTCCTTTTGGCCTCTAGCTACCGTAACCACCGCAGTTCAAAGATCTCTGTCCACCCTCTTTTAGACTTTTTCGGTTTCCCGACCTCGTGGTCAACTCCGTTCCCTTTGGCTAACCTGTCGCACCATGTCCATGGTGCCACCCCTAGCCAAACGTCATAACACGGTCCAACATGTCCGCCCTGGGGCCATCCCGAACATGTTCGCTCCACCCTCACCACCTGCCATCTGGGTCCTCTCATTCATGCGCAAACCCTCACCCCCCGGCCGACCCGCCCTTCGAATTTGGCGCCAACACAACCACCCCCTATAAATAAGCACGGGTCCTTTCGGTTCTCGATTAGTTCCTTGGATTCGGACTGCTGTAAACCTCCTTAAAAAAACTAGTTGTATTTTTGGACGTTTGTTTAGCTGTCTTCAACGCCTTTTCGTCTTCATTAGCCTTATTTCTTCACATTCGATGATACAAAAACATTCTTTGCTTCTTCTAAATGTTCCCAAAACCTTGTTTTCCCTTTCTAAACACTGCATACATTCGGTTCTCGATTAATTCCCTTGTCCAGTTTGCTAGATAACCCTGGGGAGAAAATTTTAACTTTTGAGGCGGTCATTTCCGTCTACAGAATGCTCAAACTTTTTATTTTTGCAGTAAAACGCCTAGAAAATTCCGCTTTTTCTCTTTTGTTTTTTTTCACTTTTTCATTTTTTTGATCGTTCACGGCGATTTTACATTTTTATTTCAGATGACAACCCTCAAGCGTCACAACTCGGCCTTTGTCGTCAAGAGGGATGGGCGCAAAGAGGACGTACACTTCGACAAGATCACATCGCGAATCCAGAAGCTCAGCTATGGGCTGAACCAGGACTTCGTCGAGCCGGTAAGAAACATATTTTCGTTGCTCTATTTACTTTTTTAGGTGCTCGTCGCACAAAAGGTGATCGCCGGCATGTACAAGGGCGTGTCGACGGTCGAGCTCGACAACCTGGCCGCCGAAACGGCCGCGTCGCTCACCACCGAGCACCCCGACTACGCGATCTTGGCCGCTCGGATCGCCGTCTCGAATTTGCACAAGCGGACCACCAAGGTAGAATTGTATTTAGGTTTTGGAAATGTTTTTTTTAGATCTTCTCCGAAGTGATCGACAAAATGTACAAGCATCACAACCCGACGACCGGGGCGCCGGCTCCGATGATCTCAGACGAGACCCACGCCGTCATCATGAAGCATGCTGATGTAAGAAATTGCCTTTTGCTTTTTCAATTTTGAGTTTAGCGGTTAAATTCTTCCATCATCCACGACCGCGACTTCTCCTACACGTACTTCGGATTCAAGACGCTCGAGCGCTCCTATTTGCTGAAGATTAACAACGAGGTAAAATTTCTCGCTTATTTTTTTACTGCTTTTTAGGTCGTCGAACGCCCACAGCATATGATCATGAGGGTGGCTGTCGGGATTCACGGTGACGACATCGACTCGGCCCTGGAGACTTACAATCTCATGAGCGATCGATACTTTACGCATGCCACGCCGACTCTTTTCAACTCGGGAACCCGCCGGTAACTTTTCCTTTTTAATCATTAAAAAACTTTCATACTTTAGCGCCCAGCTATCTTCGTGCTTTTTGCTGATGATGCAGGACGACTCGATTAACGGGATCTACGAAACATTGAAACAGGTTTGTTTCTTCTACTTTGTTGTTTATTCTTCCTTAGTGCGCCCTGATCTCCAAGTCCGCCGGCGGTATCGGGCTCAACGTGCATAACATCCGCGCCAACGGCAGTGCCATCGCCGGCACGAATGGGCACTCGAACGGGCTGGTGCCGATGCTGCGCGTCTTCAACAACACGGCTCGTTACGTCGACCAAGGGGGCAACAAGCGGCCGGGAGCTTTTGCCATCTACTTAGAGCCGTGGCACGCTGATATCTTTGAGTGGGTTTTTATCTCTGTTTTACTTTGCCTTCTATTGTATACACCTCTTTGTTTAGGTTCATCTCGCTCCGCAAAAACACTGGCCCCGAAGAAGAGCGTGCCCGTGATCTCTTCTACGCCCTCTGGGTCCCCGATCTCTTCATGAAGCGCGTCGAAAAGGACCAAAACTGGTCACTGATGTGCCCGGCCGAATGCCCCGGTCTCAGCGACTGCTGGGGCGAGAAGTTCGAGGCGCTCTACATCAAGTACGAGCAGGAGGGCCGATTCCGCAAGCAGATCCGCGCCCGAAAGCTCTTCGAGCACATCGTCAGCAGCCAGATCGAGACCGGGTTGCCTTATATGGTGCGTGATTTTGTTTCTTTTTGTAAAACACTTCTTTAGTTGTACAAAGATGCCTGCAACGGCAAGTCAAACCAGCAGAATTTGGGCACGATCAAGTGCTCCAACCTGTGCACCGAGATCGTCGAGTATACCAGCCATGATGAGGTCGGTTTTCTTGTCAATCTTCAACGTTCTTTCTTAGATTGCCGTCTGCAACCTGGCCTCGATTGCTCTGAACCGCTACGTCACTCCGGATCACAAGTTTGATTTCAACAGCCTCCATGCCGTCACCAAGGTGGTCACCCGGAACTTGAACAGGTATATTTTGTCTATTTGATCATATTTAAGTTTGTTTTTAGAATCATTGACATCAACTACTACCCGGTCAAGGAGGCCGAGAACTCCAACATGCGCCACCGCCCGATTGGAATTGGTGTTCAGGTATATTCTTTTACGTAGACTGGCGTTAGGAAATACTCGGGCCCGAATCGGCAAAACGGTATACGGTAGCGTTTCCACGTTTTTGCAAGCAACCTTTTGGACTGTATAATAAAGCTTGACTATTCGTCAGCAAGTTACAGTTTTCAAAATAAAATAGCATCTTATTGAAGAAAAAAAAGAGATAGTTTTATGCAGGCAGCACAGAAAGACACGCGCCCACGCTGGTTTTGGAATTTTTCTACATACCTTACTCAATTCGCTGTAGACAAAGCTTTAAACTCTGTTAAGAAAGTTAAGAATGTTAAGAAATAAAAATCCGGAAGCAAACACAAAAACTAGCATAAACTAAAACTAAAACCAGAATAACCAAAACCAGAAAGGCAAACAAAAATTATCAAAGGCAAAAGCGGAAGGCTAGAAATGAATTCTTTGCCCAACATCGCGAGGAGCAAGAATAGTTGTTATTGATTTGACGAAGCTTTGTCTACAGTCAAATTTAGTAAAGCATGTAGGCAAAAATCGAAAACCAACGTGGACGCGTGCCTGTCTGCGCTGCCGGCGTCCAAACCAGTTTTTTTTCAATAAAATTGTCTTTCTTCTTTTTTTACCCTTTCTTTAATTCCCTTTTATTGTGAAAGCTGTAAAATACTGAAGATGAGGAGAAAACGAATAAAATTTTATGATACGGTCTAAAAGGTTGCTTGCTAAAACGTGGATCCGCTACCGTATACCGTTTTGCCGATTCGGGCCCGAGTATTTCCTAACGCCAGTTTTACGTAGAAGGCCAAATTCCTCTTTAGGGACTCGCAGACGCCTTCATGCTCATGCGCTACCCGTTCACTTCGCCGGAAGCCCGCGATCTCAACCGACGGATCTTCGAAACCATCTACCACGCCGCTCTCGAGGCTAGCTGCGAACTCGCCGAGCGTGATGGCCCCTACCAGACCTACGCCGGCAGCCCGATGAGCAATGGACAGCTCCAGTTCGACCTTTGGAACGTCATCGCCACCGACCAGTGCGACTGGACGACGCTGCGCGAGAAGATCCAGAAGCACGGCATCCGCAATTCGCTGCTCGTCTCCCCGATGCCAACCGCCTCCACCGCTCAGATCCTCGGCAACAACGAGTCGATCGAGCCCTACACCTCAAACATCTACTCTCGTCGTGTGCTGTCCGGAGACTTCCAGGTACATTTTTGTGCACTAATCTCATTTTGATAACTACTTTTAGATCGTCAACCCGCATCTGCTGAAGGACCTTGTCGAGCTGAACCTGTGGTGCCCGGAGATGAAGATGCAAATGATCGCCAACCACGGGTCGATCCAGAAGATCCCCGGCATCCCGGACCACATCAAGGAGCTGTACAAGACGGTGTGGGAGATCAAGCAGAAGGAGATTATCGAGATGGCGGCCGATCGAGGTATGAAATTCCAACCAACCTCAATTTTCCTTTTAGGTGCCTACATCGACCAGTCGCAGTCGCTGAACATCCACATTGCCCAACCGAACATGGCCAACATCACCTCGATGCACTTCTTCGGGTGGAAGCAGGGTCTCAAGACGGGCATGTACTACCTGCGCACCAAGCCCGCCGTCAACCCCGTCCAGTTCACCGTCGACAAGCAGGCGATGAAAGATAAGGTGTGTTTTTTTACGTGGCATTTTGGTGCTTTCGCAATATGGAGGGGGGGGGGGCTGAATTGCCGAATAATGTTTTTGATAAGTTCTAGTTGGCTTTATATGAGAACATTTTTAAAAAGAGTTTTCCAGTCCCCTCCCTCGATATTGCGAAAGATCTGACTTTTTGTGGTTCTCCCTTTGCCCTTCTAAATCGCAATTTTCAGGAAAACCTCGACCGGAAAGCCGCCGAGACCAAGGCTGCAGCCGCTGACGACGATGAGGGATGCCTCATGTGCTCCGGATAATCACTTACTTTTATATCGTTTGTATCTTTATATATGTTATTACCACCTCGGATCTCATCCCCCCATCCCAATCCATTCCGTTGCCTTATATCCCCAGTGTCTATGCTCATCCCCCGGATTTCACTTTGCGAATACATTTCTGACTACTTATGGTGTTGCACTTACTCCAGAAGCGGGCGAGCAGATAATTGCGATAGTGCTCGTTGAGGCCGATGATTGAGAAGGTGCCGACAGCTCCATGCGCGCTTACAAGCACAAATGCAATATGTGCGATTTCTAGAAGTTTTGTGGGCTGTTAGTTTTCGATCTATTTACCTTGTACGTTCCGAAGTCGAAAAATGATGATTAGCCCTAGAAGCGAGCCAGGGTAGAGGATTGTCACGATCGGAATGGTCATCTACAACTTTTCATTGGCTCGCTTTATCACGCTTTATCTACCTGCGAGCTCAAGTTCAGCAGGTATTTCCTGTATTGCAACTGCTTGGACTCGTTGGAATATTTTCCCTTTTGATGGAAGATGAAGGCGGTGTGCAGCCAGAACCACGTCATTCCACAGCCGAGGAACTGAAAGAATTGGCATACTTGTATTTTGGATTTTCCTACCCCGCCCAGCAGCGTCTCGCTAAACATATAGGCCGCGAGGGCCATATCGTTCTTGCTGTAGAAGATGATCACGTCCGGCAGGTCGACAATATCGCGGTAGTTTGGGAAGTCCTTTTAAGGTCTATTTCGGTTGTTTTACTGACTTACCTCAACGAGTTCGATGCGCTTTGAGGGTTGATCTTGATAGGTGGGCGGGAGGAGGATGAAATGAGGCGTGAGAAAAAGGATGTAGGTGATGATGAGGATTATTGCCTGTATTTTATTTTATCCATTAAAACTTCTGAAGTTCTAAACAAAATTTCTTTTTCTAATGTTTTTAGAAAAGACGACCTGTTTGAAATTAGGGCTTTCTTCTTTCTTTTTCTTTCTTTTTCCTCTTCTTTTATTCTTTAAGATTTTTCTTTCGTAGCCACTGCTTTAGAAGCACGGTTTAAAAGTAACGAATCTTTCTAAGAATACCTTTAGAAGGGTCTATAAGTAAACTTAGAACTTTAAAAACCTCCCGATTCTCACCTTGACCTTCCGCGAAAACTTCAACAAGCTCCCATTGGGCACCACCATCTGCCAGCGGTAGAAGAACATGTGCATCGTGGCGGCGAGGATTAGGTGCAGAAAGGTAGAGGCGACCGTCTAAAGCACAGTTAGTTTTTATAATTATTTTACCATTTGATGACCAGAGCTGACGCCCATTTTGACGAAAAGGCCGGTCGGGCGGCCGACAGCGCTGGGAAGGAAGAAGACGGGCGCGGTGCACAGGCCGAGGATGACGTCACAGAACGTCGAGCAGATCTTGAATCAAAAGATACCATAAAAGATGATCAAAAGACTGAAAATTGTACCGTAATCGTACGAAAATAATCAAATACGAAAAAAATAAAATACGAAAATCGTATCGTACTTCGGCTTAAAAACGATGGATAAAAACGTCTAGATCCGTTTTTACTTGCAAGAAAGCGTTTCCAAAAGTTATTAGCTTTTATTAGAACTTTGATTTACAGTTTTTTTACAATATAAACCACCTGGTAGTTTAATAAATGCCAGCGGTACGTCTTGAAATGGGGTGGTGAATGGAACAAAATGATGTAGATGCCGAAGCTGTTGACGAGCAGTCCGCCCACGCTCGCATAAGTAAGAAACTGAAAGGTATGTATTAATTTATTCTTTATTATATATACATATTTCAAGAAATTAGCTTCTCCTTACCTTCAGATAGTACTGCGGGTCCGTATCAAACTCCGACTTCAACATCGGGTCGCAGGTCGCCATTTTTATACCTTGAGGTTAGAGGTAGAGCTGCGGTCTTTTAACCTTTTTCTATAACTTAAATCCCAAAAGTGGATGGAACAAGTATTTGAAACGTCGTCTTTTCCTGTTGCCAAATTTACCCCAGGCCGAAACCTTCTCGCTGCACCTGCATCGCCATGGAAATCGGGGCGGCTCGACGATTTTCAGCTGCCGGTTCGTGCGTAGGGCATCGAAACGATCGGCAAAAATTGTGGGCCCCGCCATGTTTCCGCCAAAATACAACGAATTTGGTGAGGGTAATGACCGTATCAAGGCGGACGGATAGTTCTGTCGCCGGGGGTTTTGGAAGGCTCGCTAAAATCGTAGATAGGTCTATTGTGAAGATGAACTGTGTCAGTTTGTAGCCTGTAGAATTCGGTTTTCGGTTTTTCCCACTTGGTTTTCGTTGTAAAATGGGCGCCAAATTTTACGACTCCGCAAAATATCTCGAAGATTACTCCACCAAGTTGCCTGAAAGTTGTCGTCAACAGCTCCTTGAAGATGGCGATCATTTCCCTAATACTTTGCAACGCCCGAAAATTGCCAGAACATGGGAAACTCGCGTGGAAAACTGGCGTCAAGCCGAAAATATTCTTTAGAGATTCAGCAAATTTTTTTACGTCGAATTGTGTTTGTGTCTTTTCGGGCGCTGACGATCCCAACATCTTCAAAAATGGCTTTTTCTGCACGTTAAAACCAAAAATACGTGAGCAGGTTTATTGCGGGTAAAAATTGATGGCATTTATTATTATTATTATTATTTAATACCATTATTATTATTATTATTATTGATTATTATTTAATAGATGGCACTGAGATGGAGATAGAGCGTGAAGAAGAAGGCGCAAATAAACGCGGCTGTGCGGATCCGCCATTTACATATTAAACTCCAGCCACGAATGGCCAGCATTTCGAGTATATCAAGGAGTTCTTGGCGGCGCGCTTCCGAAAAGGACCAATGGTGCCACAGAGCTGAAAAGCACGTCCATCGAACATCTATCTGGACATACCGATACAAGCGCAACAGCTAAGGAGAAGCGATGTAATATCAAGCCACCACATCCCGCAAGGAAGACCATACTGAAAATATTAGCTTGAACCACATTCCTCCCTCCCAATATGCCTATTGGGCGGCTTGCCCCCCGTAACAGCCCAGTACCGTTTTTAGCATGCGTAAATAGGTGCCTGCGCCATGGCGCATTGAAAAAGACGCAGAGTTCTGTCTGCGTCTCTCTTCTCGGCGCGCTCTTTCTCTTCCTGCCGCGACGCGCCCGACCGCAACGCTTCCACGACTCATGGAAAAAGGTTCTGCTACCAGACGCCGTTTAAGGTGCTAGATGGGACCGGGGGTGAGGTAAGGGAATTCCGGCCATCTCGCCGAAAATCTGATTTTGTATGCTTTTCTCGGGTAGTTGCGCCATCTCCGAGGTCAAAAAATGCAAAGAAAGTAGCTGTTTTTCAGGGCTACTGTGCCCGGACACTTCCCCTATAATTTGAGGCCGAAAACCGATTGGCCCGGTCATGATCAGTGATTTTTCCAGTATTAGACCAAAATGAAAGAAAGCGGAACAAACTTGCATACAAAATTCTGTTTTCGGCAAGATGGTTTTCGACGAAATGGTCCGATACCGAGAAAGGATTTAAAAAATACCTTTTGCCTCCAGCTGGCCTCTTGATTCGGCGGGATTGGGTTCTGCAAGGAAGTAGCTAGTTATGCGACAAACTCCAATGAGAATATCAGGTTGGAAAGAAAGTAATGGCACAAAATCTTTAAACCGCTGTAAAAACCCGCAGGAACGTCCGATTTGAAAGTTTGATATATGGTTTGGTAGATCTTCGGATGCTCTATCACGTGATGACCCTCAAAACACCCAAAAACTAATGTACGCGACAATACAGGCCTCAGAAGTTTCACGGAAAATTAGGTGAAAGCTTCTAAGCGAGATATCTCTGCATACAGGCATTTGCATACGATACCTTTAACACCAATCGATAGCCCTCGAGGAGTAGATATCGATAGATGTTGAGATCATCAAAATCGGACACTGGATGGCCGAGATATGGGCCTTCCAAAATCAATGCATTTTCTGGTTTTTGGTTCGGGAGCTGAAGCAAATGCAGCAGTTTTTGGCTCGCGCAGGCCAAAATGTATGGGATTTCGAGAAAAGTTCTAACATGTGGACCAAAATTCTAGGGCCCATATCTCGGCCATCCAGTGTCCGATTTTGATGATCTCAACATCTATCGATATCTACTCCCCGAGGGCTATCGATTGGTGTTAAAGGTATCGTATGCAATGCCTGTATGCAGAGATATCTCGCTTAGAAGCTTTCACCTAATTTTCCGTGAAACTTCTGAGGCCTGTATTGTCGCGTACATTAGTTTTTGGGTGTTTTGAGGGTCATCACGTGATAGAGCATCCGAAGATCTACCAAACCATATATCAAACTTTCAAATCGGACGTTCCTGCGGGTTTTTACAGCGGTTTAAAGATTTTGTGCCATTACTTTCTTTCCAACCTGATACTACAGGGTGTCCCTTTTAAAAAGATTTTTAAAACTATTAATTTCCAGGAAGAAAAAAAGACGATAAATCAGAAATTTCAGTAGGTTGGAGGGTTGGTCATGATGGTTCCGAATCGGAACCGAACCTCTAGACCATTTTTTTGGACCGATTGTAGGTAAGGCAACCAAATGCCGCGTGGGCCGTTCGTTTTGGTACACCCTGTGGTTCTGGTTCATTAGCGGGGGGAGGCCACGTCCATCCCGCTTACCCCTTCCCAATAGGCCCATTGGGAGGATCCCCCCTGCAAACTCACCAGAACCCACCCTGTAGTATGTCTTTTCGAAACATAACTTTCAAAAATGCGGAAAAAACTTAAAAGTTTAAGCAATTCAACTTACGTGCTGGCATTGAAAGAGAAAGGTGATGGCCAGCCAGAAGCCGAAGTAAACGGCAAAGAGCCCTGATAGCTCAAGCGCGACGCGCGGCGGCGGCTGCATACTACAAGTGATAGGTATATCAGCCTGGAAACTTTGCTGCCAGCAAGCGCCAGATGTTTGGTCCTATTTCTATTGCGCGCCAATTCCCTTATTCAAATCCGGCCCTTCGAGTGCAGTATAGATGGACACAGTCCGACGCAGCAAAAAAGTCTCGCCAGTCGTTGTGTGGGTGCCACGACACTTGCGCCCCGACCATTTGCGCCCCGACACTTGCGCCCCGCAATTTACGATGGAATCGGGGCGCAAATGGTCGGTGCGCAAATGTCGGGGAGCCGTTGTGTGGTGTCTCGAGAAGTGTCGGTTTTCCCTTGTTCCTTTTAGCCATTTTTAATTTTCCTTTTGCTTCCTCAAATTTACGCGTGAAAACGGGCCCATGAGAACAGGCCTCTCCCATCCATGGCACACGGTCCATCAGACAGGCCAAAAACGGAGAGGACAAAAGCGTCCATAGGAGCCGGGCGTAGCGCGCATCAAAAAGTTTAAGCTCTTGCAACTTTTTCAAACCGGCTTGATATTGAAAACCCAATATCAATTGTTGCAGAGTAGAATTTTACGGTTCGAATGCTTCCAATAACAGCAAATTAATTTTATAATTCATTTGCAGCAAATTCGGCGACGGCTAATGCCCATATCGAAGGATGCTACCAACGGATCGCGAAATGTTATTGGAAGTGGGATGGGGACTCGGTCTAATATTTGCGGTGATAGGCGTCTGGGACTTGGTGATGACGCTCTACATGCCCGCCGAAACAGTACGTTTGGTGAACGGTCGTTTTCACCATTCCACAGACAGGCAAAACCGCAAGCCCGGACACGATTAGCCATCAGTGCCTTCAAATTCATTTTTTCGAAAACAGATTTTGTCGAAATTTAATGCGTCAAAATTCCACAAAGGTTCTTTAGGATTCGCGCGGATTTTTTCGGCGCAGGTCTAAATTTTCTTTATAAAGGGCAGATGCATTTCTACATTGTTTTCAACTGTTCCTAAGCATAAAAACTTTACAAATTTCTAATTAAAAATTTAATTGTAGGTTGAAAAATTGATTTTTCGGCTCAAAATACCAAATCAGCTCAAAAAATTAAAAAAAACTTTATATTTGATTACTAGATGAACCGGGACCGCCAGGAAAAATGGCCCTTTGCCCGCCAAACTTTAAAGTCACACAATTCCCGCAGAGAAATCAGGTCGAAGAGAAAGGCAGGCGTTCATAGGAAGCGTGCCCTTTTTAAGTTGTTTTCAGTGTTCGACGCCCTGTTCAACGCGATTTGAGATCTTGTTTATTCATCTCTTCATATGGAGTGGCATCGCTATCGGTAGGGCTCCTGATTCAGACCAAACTTTTCACCAGGTGGTAGGCGAAAACCAGGCAAAAAGTCATAGTTTCAAAAACAGCTTTTTCCAAAAATCGTTGTCGCAAAAGATTTTTTTAGAAAAATCTTTTGAAATTTAAGCATTACTATTTTGGTTCTCTCAGCATTTTTCCGAACCCATCTGCCCCCGCTTCACAATTGATCCGATTGGTTCGCGATTTCAGCTATCCTCTATGCCAACTGCGAATGGGGAGAGCAACTCCGTGTAAAGATGGCATGTGGGTGGTACTATCGAAAGCTGCGCGCTCAATGGCATGCCTCCTGGCGTTACCTTCTGCTTGTCATCTCGATCATGAACTACCTATTTTCATAACATTTCATCGGCCTGTTTTTTTCCGGCGTTATAACTTTATTAAAGTTTTATGGCTTTGTTTTATAACTACACGCAATCCTTTTACCATCGCTAGCTTTATCAAACTTTTTATTTCCCAAAAACCAAGGAGTTTCAACTCCGGGCCATTTTCCTGTTTTTAGCGCGTCGCCTCCGCTGCGCCATCCGACGCGCGAAAGCTTTGGCCCGCTCGTTTTCTTGAAATTCATTTCCGGAAAGCGTACGCTCCGGACAGGGGCAATAACTGGCGTCTTGGCCTAAAAATAATGCAATTTCATAGCTTTTTGGGTTTCCGGTACCTGGCTGCCCGCTTTGCCCATTGTTACCGGGTTTGCCTTGAACACCAGGACGGCCGGGTGATCCGAGATTGCCGGACGGGCCGCGCGGACCCTAAAAATCAGAAAGGTTTTAAACTGATAAATAATGTTTTCCGGACTACCTGTTACGAATTTCGAAAAATAATCTTAAAAAGCAAAAACAAAGGTCTTGGCCGGGATCGAACCGGCGACCTTCTGCGTGTGAAGCAGACGTGATAACCACTACACCACAAGACCATGGATCCGGGCAGGGGGAGGGGGTAGATAAGGGGTGCGCGCCACCCGGCGATCCGCCTAGCGAAGGTGCGAGGCTTTTGGAACCTTTTCGTTGAGAAAACCAAAAAATGCTAACTAGGAAAATTGTTAGAAACTATCAGAATTTATTGGTTTACGGCCATAGTACTCTTTCGTCTCTTTAAAAGACCTTAAAACGCACCACATTCCGCGACCGATCGGTGGTACCAGGCCGGCCCGAGTTTCCTGGTGGCCCAATGGGTCCTGTGGGTCCCTTGGGCCCCGGCAGGCTTCTACTTCGGCGTCCAGGTGACCCAGGTTGGCCGCTTGGCCCTGGAGAGCCCGGATTTCCACCATTTCCCGGGTTTCCAGTTTCTCCCGGTCTTCCGGGGCCGCCACCTCGGCCTTGGCTACCGGGTTGTCCAGGCTGTCCGGGCGGGCCTGAAATGGAGTTTGCATGTTGTAGTTAAAGGGACCAAGACAGTCCGGATCAAATTGCATAAAAATGTTAACTGAACGCTACTTTTTTGTTTTCGGAGGCTATTTCGCGCCTAATTTTTCACACCGTAACCGGTTGGTTTTTTGCCAATTGCAGATGAGGAATATTTTTTAGCTTACCGGGCTGTCCTGGGGGTCCGTCGAGGCCGGCCTGGCCGGGGATACCCTGTGGGCACATGATGCAACCCAGTGGGTTCATGTCCACATTGTCGTAGACGCGGGTTCGGGCCTCGGCGCCTGGGCGCCCGAATTCGCCAGGTTCACCTGGTTCTCCCTGAAAAATATTTGTTTCTCATTCTCTCTCTCTCTCTCTCTCTCTCTCTCTCTCTCTCTAACACACCGGCTCTCCCCTTGGCCCTGGTGGCCCTTGCGGGCAATTCCGGGCCCTCATCCCGCAGTTGCAAGAGTCGCCGAAAGAACTAAAAACCCGATTGTCACCATCCCTTTAAAACCCGGCACCTTGGCTGTCTCTTTGTCCTCAGCACAAAATACGGCAACCCCGAACGCTCCATCAGCAGATGTGCACTCTCGCTGATTTCCTGAAAATCTTGTCATTGTTGTTTTAAAGAGCTTAGACCTTGAAAGCTTTGAAAGCTTTGGCTTTGAATTGGCTTAGGATTGAGCTTCGCCCGGCTTAGGCTTAGATTTCGCTTAGGCCGAGCCTATCTTTTAATGCGATTTGCCTACCCGAAATTCCTGTAACGAGTCCAGGGCATTGTCGTGGAATCGGTGGATTTCGAGAAATATCGAGAAGCCATACCCCAGGCAGACGAAAAAGGCTACGGTAGTCAATAGTAGCGCTCCGGAAAGGGCCGATATTCGTTGTGGGTCCCAGTTGGTGGATATCCACATTATAGCGAATTTTCGGGTACTGTATTGAAAATCCCGGGGGTTTTATATCCGCTTTTTGACCTCGGGATGCGATAATTGCCTTTGGGTAGCTGGGAACAAAGGGGGTTACTTTTTGGGATTTTCACTTTCGTAAGGAGGGGCGGGAGCGAGACTGAGAGAGAGAGAGAGAGAAGCTAAACGTTGCCCCAACCACCGTATCATCCGCTCATCTCTTTGTCGTATTTGATGCAAAAATTGGCAAATATATTATTTATTTGTTTTGAGCACGAAAATCGGCAAGGCAATTTTCCAAAAGGCACGGTTTCACTGTATACACATTGAGCAATCGCAGGCGTGGGGTGGTGCAAAAAATACGGTAGTTTAGGATACGATAACACGGTAAAAATGGAAATAAATAAAGTAGCACAATAGTTTTCAAAAATCGAAAATTACGATGGTAAAAATAGAAGTGAACGGGATCTGGTGCAAAACAACAAAAACGCATATTATTATTTTCGTTTAGGTTTAAATTCCATTAAAAAACAGTATAAAATATTTTCTAATGTTATAACGTGGTAATATCATGGTGTTCGGTGGTCGGGACGGTCGGGTCGGCAGGCTGAAGCTGGGCTTCGCCCCCAACCACAACAGCATTCTCAACAACTTCTTGTCCGTCTTCGTGTCCTGAAAAATAATAATGAAGCAACGAGGCTAAGTCTAAGCTTAAGCCTAAGCCTATGCCTAAGTCTAAACCTAAGCCTAACCTAAGCCAAGCCTAAGACTACGCCTTGCCTAAGCCTAAACCTACTTATATTAGCGACAATATTTGTCAACCGCTCCAACGAGTTGCGCTTCGACCGTGTGTGAGCAGCAACGGTGTGCTGCTGGGAGGAGAGGGAGGCTTCTAAAATGGTGCTATGCGTCTAGAATTTGACCCAGCTACCGTACCCTCATCCCCACTGCCCTCCGAGTCGACGCTCATCCCGCCCTGATCATCCTCATCGAAGCGGCCATCGCCTTGGCCGTAGTAGGCTGGGGCGGCTGACTGGAAATTTGAGGTTACTGAAGTAGACGATACGTAGCCTAAGCCTAAGCCTTACCTAAGCCTAAGCCTTAGCCGAAGCTCTTACACCTACCATATAATCCGGCATATTCGCCGCCTGTTGTGCCATTGCCTGATTCTGGATCATGAGCTTCGTCATCTTCCCCTGCTCAGCCAACATCCCCTCCAACTTGTTGATATACTCGATGGCGGCGCGCAGGATTTCTACCTGAAACAGTCGGTTTTAATAGGCTTTCTTGCTCTCACTCTTTCTCTCTCTCTCTCCCTCTCTCTCTACCTCTTTCCCCTTCTTTCTTTCTCTCTCCCTCACTATCGCTTGCTCGCTCACTCAAGAACCGACCTTAGGCAATCTCTGATTCGGATTCGGACAAGTGCGGGCTTTGACGACTTCAAAAGCTTCGTTCACTTTGCGAAGACGCCTCCTTTCCCTCATTGTGGCAGCTTTTCGACGATCTAAACTATGTAAGTACATGCTTATAAGCTCTCTCCCTCTCTCTCTATCTCTCTCGCTCTCTCTCTCCCTCGCTTTCCCTCTCTTTTTCTCTATCATTTTTACCTTTTCTCGGCACCGGGATAGCTTCTTCAGTCGTCGTAGGCTCTGCTGTCGGCTGCGAGGCCGGGATGTGGTGTTCTGCTTAAAAGTAGGCGTAAGCAACGTACCTAATAACACAACACAACGTAGCGTAACCTAATGTAGCGTGCGTACCCTAGCGTAACTGTGTATCCCAATTACCTGTCGCAATTTCCGGCTTTAGCTCGACGTGTGGCTTGGTCTCCTTGATCTCAAGGGCGGGCACTTGCGTGGAGATGGGGTTGAACTGGGTGGAGGGGAGGGTGGTGGATGGGAAGCTGTCCACTGAAATTTGGGCTTGAAAGGGAGCATGACATAAGCCTATGGCTGAGCCTAAGCGACTGCCAAACTACCGTACTCTGCGTCGCGTGCAGCTGGGCCCCGTAGAACGCCGTGCTGCCTGATTGCGCAACATTAGGGTAGTAGTAAGGCTGGTAGGGGCTCCTGAAAAAAATAATTTTTTTCTATATCAAGGCGGGATACGGTAGCTGAGGTGAAAGTTAGGGTTTTTGAACATCAGGGCGGCCATTTGTCCTCATTCTGAATTTTATTGCATCGGGATACGGTGGTTCAGGTGAATTTTAGGGTTTGAAGCGCCAGGATTGTCTTCCTGCGCTTCTGCACTCAATTTTTAAGCCGGGTTACGGTAGCTGAGATAGCCTTTAGGCTTTCAAGAAGATAAGGACGTTTTTTGGAACCTTAAGACTAAGCCTACGCCCAAACCTAAGCATGCGTATAAGCCTAAGCCTAAGCCTAAGCCTAAGCCTAAGCGAAGCCTAAGCCTAAGCCTAAGCCTAAGCCTAAGCCTGACCGAAGCCTAAGCCTAAGCCCGAGCCTAAGCACAAGGCAACGAACAGTCGTCGCCGAGCAGGTCAACGATCCCCGCGGGCAGTTGCGCCTTGGGGGATGAGACAGCCGGTCGGTGTTGGCTTATGCCTGTGGCCAGTTGCTCCAACAATTGGTGCACATTTGCTGCTTCGAAACGCCCCAAACCCGTCGGCCTCGGCCGTCCGCTACTCCTCACTTTTGCTATTCGGCGCTCTCCGCTCAAAATATTCGATTTAACTGCCTCTTAAAAATATTTTAATCTTCCAAATTTGCTGTTTTGTAAAATTTTGATAGTTTTAAGCCATTAATGCGTCTTCCAGCAATGCCTTTTAGCCTTCCTAGTCCATTTAATTGGCTTTAAAGGGCTTATAAGAAGGAAAAGGGGAAAATTAAGGATACCCACCGATAGCTTTCGTAAGGATTCGGGGTCGGCTCGTACGAAGCACTGGAGTGGGTCGGTTGGAATGACGTCAAGGTGGTCATATCTGAATTTGAGGCGGTACTTCTTGCTCCTTGTCCCCTAAGCCTAAGCCTAAGCCCAAGCCTAAGAATAAGGCAAGCCAAAGCTTAAGCCTAAGCCTACACCTAAGCCTAAGCTTAAGCCCCAGCCTACGCCTAAGCCTAAGCTGAAAACCTAAGCCTTCCAGTTCACTGATAACCGATACCTGTCGGGTTCGCCGGCACTCGTGGACTATTTCCATAGCCCGGAATCTGACTCAGGTAGTCGTACGTCTGTTGCCCGTCGTTCATCTGTAATATAGAGCTAGTTGAAAGGGATACGGTAGGATAGTCAGGTTTTAGAAAGCAATCGTCAGCGTCGTAAATGGTAGGGTTAATGCAACGACTATACCCAGGGTCGAATGCATTCTTCGGGTTCGGGGTTGTAGATACGTGATGCTAACAAGGAGTGGTTTTTGAGTGTCATTGGCAAATCCCTTCGCGACCCAGCTCATTCGATAGAGAATTGAATTCTGAACAACCTCCCGGTGTTCATTTTTGCAAAACGCTTTCCCTGATTTTATAAAATTTAAAAACTTTAAATCGAATTTTGGCCGACTGTCGGTTTGCCGCATCAAAATGAAGCCTGGCTAGCTCTAGGAGAAGAGGCCTTCAGCGCCGCTCCCCTCACCATCAGATGTGGCGCAGTGGCTAACGCGGCTGTTTTCCAAAATTTATTTTTCCATCTTTTGCAAGTTCGGTTTTTGTAGATGTAATTTGTTTTGCTTTTTGTATTATAAGTGGCCCCAATATTTTTAAACAGGTTGTACCTCCAATTTAGAGGACTCACACTAACGTGGATCATAATATTTGTTTTTTGTTGTAAATTTTCCTGAATGCGCGCAGAGCAGCCCACGTTGTAATAAGTATTATTTTAAATTAATTAACTTATCAAAGCGTCTGCAAACGCTTTTAATAACAAAAAGCAAAACAAATTTTCTACCAAGGAACCGAACTTTCCACAAAGATGCAAAAAATTTTTGAAGGCGGAAGCCTTTACCACTAGGCCACGTCCCATGGTGAGACCGGGTGGCGAAGCGAGCTCATGTCCTAGGGGAGTTCCAAAAGGCTGGCCGCGCCAGACGGGGTACGTAAAATTCAAATTTTAGTTTTTTAATTTTATGAAATCAGGGAGAGCCGTTTTGCAAAAATAAACAACGAGAGGTTGTTCAGAATTCAATTCTCTATCGAATGAACTAGGTCGCTAAGGGATTTGCCAATGACACTCAAAAACCACTCCTTGTAAGCCACGTTACGCTACGCTACGCACAGCGTAGCTACACTACGTTATTTTACGCTACACTACGTTAAGCTAGGCTACACCAACAATGGCGCGAAAGTGATAATTGAAAATCGGCTCAAATTCCTTGGATTCCCAAAAAATCCGTCGTCTGACACCCGGAAACTCAGGTTTTTGATGATTTACGCTACGCCATTTTACCTTACGTTACGCTACGCTAGGTGCGGCTAATGCCGACATTTATACAGATTTCGCATTGATGCAAATGAGGCATGGTTCAAAGTTCTACTTGCGAAAAACTCCGTTTCAAGCCCCTACATATCGATCGATATTCCGATCGACACCTAAGTACGTTTACGCTTTTTCTGTCATTTTGCCCAATTTCAATGCGAGCTATGCGAACAGCAGGGTTTTGCAACGAGCGCCCGGAAAAGGAGAACAGTTGTCATTTTGCCCCCGGGTGGGGGCCAATATGATAAGATGAGGAGCATAGAAACGAGGGGAGGAGGGCTGTTCGGTTCCGACGAAGCCAAAGCCACAGCCGCGCCGAAGCCTACCATTTTTCCGGGGGGCATGTTGGGCCCTAAGCTTAGGGCCCGAAGGGGGGTAATAGGGGAAGGCAAAAGATAGCAAGAGGGGAGTCAGGTGCCGCGACAGTTGGCCAGAATGGCCAGGGTATCCGAGCGGAATCTCTTTGGAGGGGATGGGCCCCCAGGCCACACCCACCAACCCGAGCGAGACATGGCTATCAACACCGCCAGTCGACTGGCCACTCACGGCCCTGGCTGGGGGATTGGGATACGGTAGGTGGGTTTGCATTTTAGCTTAGGTTTCGGCTTACGCTTAATTGGCTTAGGCTTGACTTTGGTAAGCCGACGTCTTGCTTTAACTTTTTCCAGATTTTGGCGTTTGGATACGGTATTTTTCCGGCTTCCGCTTAACCTTAGGCTTTGTCTAGCTACACCGTGGCTTGTCTACTGTAACTTCACAGACTTTTACAAACTATATTCTCCTACGTTGGGCCTACGGTAACCGGGTCGCTTTTTAGGGCCTTGACTGAGGTTTTAGGGCCTCCCGGATACCCATATTTTTTCGGGTTTGGCACCGGGCTACGGTAGCCATTCAATTCGTTAAGCATTCTTTTTGGCTTTTTTGCGTCTTACTTCTTGCAGATTACGGTTCTTTTTGGGCTTCCCCAAAAAAAAATTCAATTTTTGGAAAAATGGTGATTACCGTTAACAAAGAATATTGAAAGGATACGGTGGAGGTGAATAAAAAACTAAGTGCAACTAAGTGCTAACTACTGCAGAAAATCAAGTGAAGGAGCAAAAAATGCGTGAACACGACATGAAAATGCGATCACAGTACAGACAGAGAGAGAGAGAGAGAGAGAGAGAGAGAGCGAAAGAGAGAAATTTACGGGAAAATACAGAAGAAAGTCGGCGGTAAATTTTCAGGCGTTATTTCGCGACGAAGGATGCTTTCTGCTTCACCTCGTGGGTTACCGTACCCGTTTCATCGTATCCCATCCATCTACCCATTCGTCACGATCGTCACGGGACCCTTCTTTCTCTCTCTCTCTCTCTCTTTCTCGCTCTCTTCTCGCTCTCTCCCTCCCTAGAAGCTATGAGCAGCAGTGTGGGGCCCGGCTGAGAGGTTGTAATATGGATCTTCTTCCCCTTATTTACGGCCTCATCCTCATCCTCGTCTGCTGATCGAGGTGAAAGTTGAATAGAAGACGATTTTTGGCGGGCTGCGCCCTAATTCCTGGAGAAAAAAAATCAAAAATAAAGCCTAAGCCCACCCCGAGGCTTAAGCCTAAGCCTAAGCCTAAGCCTTAGCCTAAGCATAACCTACGAGTAACCTACGCCCAAACCAGCCCAAAACAACGCTCCCCAATCCACTTATAGCGCTCATTTCTTTGCGCGGTTAATCCGCCACGATACAATGAACAGACAGCCCCGACCGTGCCGTGCCCCCAGACCGCGTATCTGGGCCGTATTACTGCTATGTACTACTCTGCCGCTCGCCCCAAAAGTTGCGCAAGGCGATTGATGGGCGATCAAAGGGGGATTCCGGGGAATTTTTTGCTGTTACTCGTTCTCTCTCTTGCTCTCTCTATCTCGCTCTCTCTCGCTCTCTCTCTCTCTCTCTCTCTCTCTCCCTTTCACTCTGAGAGCTTTATGGCACGCCGACCTGGGGAGGTGCAGAGCGCTTTTTAACCCCTCCATTGACACCCCCAACACCTTGTAGCAATTAATCCAGGGGCCCAATTTGCATTTTTTAGGCCCAGAAAAACCTTCCCTAGTGCGCGAAGCAGGTGTGCCTAAGCCTAAGGCTAATACACCTAAGCTAATACTCAAGTCTAGCCATTTACTGCAGCCGAAGCCAAAAGCCTAAGCCAATGCCCAAGCCTAACTTAAGCCTAAGCCTCCGCCTAAGCCTAAACCCAAGCATAACCTTCGCCTAAGCCTAAGCCTGAGCATATGCCGAAGCCTAAGCTTAAGCCTAAGCCTAAGTTAAGTCCTAAGCCTAAGGCGACTTCACCGGCTTTTCTGCCCATCCGCTGGCGGGCCCCTGAAAGGTGTCACTAATCTGGCCCCCCAGGAAGTGAGAGTATCCAATAACTCGAGGCCACCCCCTCAAAAAGCTCACCCGCCCCGCAGGCCCCCCGGCTACCTGAACTTGTCAAAGGGGTCAAACAGTCAGCCTATAGGTTTTTGCGAGATAGGATTACGGCAAACGGGGCGCTATATAAACTACGTGCAGGAAGAAAAGTTTGGAATCTGCAGAAAATCTTTGAACAGGAAAAACGATTTTTTAAGGTTTTCAGAAATTTATGAAGTCCGATCAGTGCATTTTTTGATAATAACACTTTTGATAAAGACTAGCCAGATTTTAAGGCGAAAAACAATTTTGAAAACTGAGAATTTTTGATTATGGTCGCACAACGGTCAACAACTCTAGAGCGAAAATGCTGCCTTTTTGTTCGTGTTTTAACGACGTTTTCCAACGTTTTGTATGGCTGACTTGGCTTAAATTTTAATATTGTATACAAACGTGTTTGATACAATATAAAAAAGGGTAGAAAGATTCCTTCTATTAAAATTAGCAAAAGTCGATCCTAGTCTAGAATTTGTGTGACCTTCTCCGATTTTGCGACAGAACTGAAAATTACAAAACAACGATTCATAAAAGCTGAACGCTGAAGCTAAGCATGAGCTTGTTTTCCTTTTTTCGTTTCCTTACATTCCTCATGCTCTGGCCTCGAAAGAACTTCGAGCCGGGGGTGCCACTCGCCAGATGCCCCCCTGTCCCTAAATCATCGGCACCCCGGACAAATACCGCAAAATTCGGATGCCCCCCACCCATCGACACCAGTGACACTGATTTGTGAGACTATGGTGCGCGGCAGTTGGGGTGCAAATTGGTGGGAAACCCCCGGGCGATGGGCTTGAATTTGAAAATTCGGCCCTGGAGCGGGGTTCGCACAGTGAGGCCCTATTTTCTAAAGATCTCGGCAAAAAGAGAATAAAAGCTGTAACGAAGACCTCGCTACGGAAAGCAGAAGGGTGGTTGTTTCTCAATCTCCACGGCCTTCACGAAGCCAGTGCCGTTCAAAAATGAAAGTTGTTTTCCGGCCCTTTTCCAAATTTCGTAAGCAAGCAGCTCTCGGGCGGTCCATTCTGTCTTTCTGTCGCTCTTTAACCAATTTTCATATTTAGATCGAGCCATTTTAAAGTACTATATGTTGATATTGCTCGAACTTTACCACTGCGCCTTAGAATGTCCCTTCATGACGCCGTTCGTGACTGAAAAGAGCGATCAGGGTGTCCAAGCGCTTTTGCGGGCCAACTAGAGCAGTCTTTTATGCGTAAAAAATGATTATTTTGATGCCTGGCTTTTTGATTTTCAATATCGTCATCCCAAAAGACCCGTTTGAGGCCGTCCTTATCTGGCACTCATCGACGACGCACCGGAGCGTAAAGGGGCACTCTTCAAGCGCGACGGGGCCATTTCGATCTACGTTTTTACGACCAAATTAGCAATTTTACTTTTTTTAAACGTGTTTTCTTTATTTTTGCTATCACCGTTCAAACCGGTACGATGATTGTAGTTTGTAGCTGGACACGGCGCGCCACCCGCACAGATACGAAACTGATCTGCCGGGGGCGATGCTCGCGAATTTTTACGCCTCAATTCGGTGGACCCACCCCAATCCCGATGGCAGAACAACAAGAAAAACAGGACCAAGGCGTCGCCGCAGTTTGGAAAGCACGAAAAGAGGTTAGCCTTTACCCGACGGCTCCAACTACACCCTTTTGCAGCGCCGCCATGAAGACAAGTCACGAATCGCGCGGCTCGAGCTGAAGCTTCAGGAGAGCGAGTGGAAACGAGAAACACAGGTCTGTTTTGTTGGTTTTTTATTGTTGGGTGGCTCAAAGTGCGCAAAAAAGTTCGTTCTGATCTGTCAGCTTAGCAACAAGTCTTCGTGACTATTTCACCGTCACTTAGTTTGAAAACGGTACTTTCGACGGCATCAAATTGATCGGAAATTCTGTTAAAACGCCTTCACCGCGTTTTGGCGCCATTTTACTTCTTTTAGTTGGTTATCAAGTCTAAATAGATTTTAGGGTTACGGAGCGGCCTAAAATTTTTTGCATGCTTGGCGCCGCCCAATTTAAATAGCTTCGCCTTTTCCTATTTTCTAAGACCCTTTTTCAGCGCCGAGAAATCGCCCGGTTAAAAGAAATCATCAAGGAATGCGGCGCTTGCAACGAGAAGCACCGCGAGATCAAAGAGGCTAGCCGGGCTGAGGTCAAGGAGCAAAAAGTTCGGGTACGTTGTCGTCAGTTTCCTGATATTTTTCGATTTTAAGGTCAAAGGCGGTAAAGTCGACAAGAAGGCGAGGCACGAGAGGCGCAAGGTCAAGAAGATCGCCAAGCTCCTCGACAAGTTCACCTTATAACTTCGCATGTTTTACTGTACGTTGCTTGTTATGTACTTATCACTCACATTGCTTGTTACGGTTCGATAAACTCGGGTACTAGCTAGGAAACGGGTGTCAATGTGTCGAGATCAACTGTGATGTATGTAAAGTGGGTGTGTTGATGAGCCGTTTATCTACACAGCATACATATAAACGATATAATACAACGAACTATTCACAGTACATAAAAAATTGGTTAAAAATGATTGTTGGTTGGTTGGATGGATGGATGGATGGAGATGGAGTTGGTCGCTTCGGCTCGGCTACTTCTTCTTCGGTTTGTCGTCCAGCTTTGTCTCGGCGGCCGCGGCGAACTTGTGGTAATTCGGTGCGAAGTGGTCCTTGAACTTCTTCTGCAGCGTACCATCCACAATCAGGCCCTCCTGAAACACTTGTTAGCCCAAAGCACTGTAAATACCTTCTGGAAGTAGTTGAGGAGCATCATGTGGACGTAGACGTACTGAGCGTCAGTCTGCACCGAGTTCGCACGCTGCTCGCGCACCTTAAGCAAGAAGTCCGCCATCGACTTGACCGGCTGGCCCTTGTTCATCGCCTCGAGAGTGTACTGCAACAGGACGAGAGCGCCAGTCCGTCCGATGCCCGCCGAGCAATGAATGAGGATGGGCATCCTGGAAAGAAAGGTACTGGACTGCTCGAGAGCTTATTCCAACTGTCTATTCATAAGCATATAGAAAAGTCGCCCTTACGTCGAGCCTGCCATCCTGCTGAGCAATTCGAAGGGAGCGAGGTCGGGCTTGGGCACGCCGCGGTCCGGCCAGTCGATCCAGTGATAGTGGGTGCAGTCGTGCACCTTCACCCCATCCTTTTTGATCTTCAACGTCGACATCATCACGACGGCCGTCGAGGTGCCTTCCCATTTTATCTGAGACGGTATCCTAGTTTCGATCTATTATTTTCATATACCTTATCGCAGGAGATCAACGTGATGGTGAACGGGCCGAACGTCTTCTCCCGCTCGGCCGGCGTCGGAAAGTACTCGGTGCACTTGGGCTTCGCCTCGATGAAGTTGCACAGCATGAGCATGTGCTCGACTTTTTCTTGCACGACCATCCTGAAGAAGCGGGTGTAATAAAAAAATTGTTAAAAACTTCGAGATGTTGGCCAAAATTTTTCTGTATTTTTTAACGAAATTTGTAAAATTTGACACTTGGGAATAAAAAAAAACATAATATACCTCCAATGGTCGGCCTGCGTCTCGGTGATCGGCGCCTGGCAGCAGATGAAGCGCTTGTCGCTCTTCGGCGTCGACACGTAGTTGGCGTGGATGTAGTCGTTCTCGACGCCCGTCAACTTGACCCGGCAGTTGTCGAGGCACGGCACGTCCTTGTAGCGATTCTTCGGCTGGTTCTGCAGGAACGCCACCGTATCCGCCTTGTCCGCAACTCTAAAAGAAACTGGATGCTAAAGAAAAAAAAGAAAAACTCGTACCTTTTGTGGTTGAGGAACTCGGTCCGCAGCTGCAGCATCGTCTTGTCGAGAGACATGATCACGAACTGCGTGACGAGCGCCTGGTACTCTGGCTGGATCGCCAAGTTGAAAAAGCTCTTGGTGCGGGTGAGGGTCTGCGTCGGCAGCGTCTTCGGCGCGCAGGTGTCGGTAGATGACTGCTTGCGGGTGACGGGCTTCTTCTCGGCTCCCTTCGACGTCTTCGTCCGCGGCGTACCGCCCTTCCCTTTCGGTGGCATCGTCGAGGCGATCGAGTCGAGCTAGTTGAACGTAGGGCCATCAGCTGGCGGGCTTCATAATTTATACCTGGAAACATACGCAAATTGGGATTATTTCCGGAAATCTGGTGGTGAGGATGTAAGTGCGTTTTTGAATTTCGCTGCGACAGGGCTTTTTTTGGTACTGGGCTGTTAGTGGGGGAGGGGATGGAGTAAAAGAACAAAAAAAATACATGGCAAACACATGGCAAATTTTTGTCATCTTGGTCAAAAATGCATGAAAAATGACCAAAAAGCCTAAAGTTGCAACAATTTGGACATTTTTTAACCCTTTAGCGATCAAAAACTACTAAAAACTCAACTAAACTAGACTATTGCAGTCAGTTAGGTTCTGATCAAATTAGCTATATGAAGTGGAAACACAACTTTGAAACCTCGGAAAAATGCTGGAAATTCACCAATTAAGATTCCGGAGAGCACGCCAAATTTATGCTGCCCATACCGCCCCCAATCCTACTACTACTAGCACTTTTCGGCCCCAAAGATGCCGAAATTTCATGTGCTCCTCGTCCCATGGCTTCTGGCTAGTCGATTCTCGCTGTTGGCTGCAGAGGCTGTTCGTTTGAAGGGCTACAGCTTAAAAACGGGCATTTTCAGAAAAATGGCTCAAATGCCAATCTTCTGCCAACGTTGGACAACAACAATGAAGCGGTAAGGCGGTTAGTTGAAAGTTTAAGCTTTAAAACTTAGGATCTACGACGTCCGGTACGAATTGTGCGAAAACAGCCTGTGAATGCGGTAACTACTAGGCGCCTCCGATACGTAGATAGATTTAGCCCCCAGAAATCGTGGAAGCTAGTGGAGAAGAGCCCGTAGTTGCGGCACTCGCCTTAGCACTCAACCGATCAGAAAAAGCTGCTCCTCAAGCCGATGATGAACTTCTAACGGGCGAGCTAAAGAACGCGAGCCTAAATGCGGTAGGTTAGCTTCGGCGTAGCAATGTTTTCAGTACGAATTTATATACCGCTTGTCCCGACGAAAAGTTAGAAAACAGAAGATCCATAGTTTTTAAATAAAGTTCAGGCTAAATTCAAAAGTTTCACTTTAAAAACCTATGTACCTTCTAGGGCTTTGATATCTCCCCCAACTCTACCAACATAACGCTGTTGGCGAATAACTCGGACACGATACTCGATGCGCTCGTCGGAACTGTTGGGATTGTACTGCACGACGTAATGTTTTTAAAGAGCACGCCACGTGGTGCCCCACCTATTTACGCTGCGAAACTATAAAAAACCCGGTGAGAGGTACGAACCGATCCTGAACCTGCGCGTTAAAAATCCTAACCAAACCGTTCAGTGCCGCACCGATGTCGAATGTGCATTGCGTGGTTCGACCCATTGCAACTTTCACTATTGGGGCTTCACGTCGAGCTGCTCGAAAGAATGATTTATGACCTATAACAACAACGGAGTAAACTATGAAACAACAACAGAAATTCGTCCGCTTGCCCGGGCACCCATAAACAAAGTAACAATAATAACAAAGCCAACAATAGAACCGGTAATTGGGAGGAGCAAAAGTGAGGGCAGGGCAATAACAGTTCGACTAGTCGATCAGCGGGCCCAGGTGGATCTTCGGAACAATGTTCATCGATTGGAGCTCCTAAAAAGCAAACACTCGGAAAATTAAGAGCGCGGGTTACCTGGAAGAGTAGCTTGCAAGCGTATGGGATCTTGATCTTGGCCAAGTCTTTGGAGGAGCGGCACCGTTGACACCAGCCCTTGTAGCCCATCAACCCGCAAATGCCGCAAACTTCGATCTGAAAAGAAAAGAATCTTTGGGTCTTTAGCAATATCGGGGGGAGGCGTGTCAGAGCGAAACGGATTTTCTGATGTTTTCAATTTTAATTAAATTTAGCCGTCTTCAAAATATCAAAACTAGTTAGAAAACTTAGAAAAAATTAAAATATTGCTCGACAAAGGGGATCCCCTTCCCCGTTAATACAAAAGAACCAAAACAATTTTCCAGGCCGAACAAACCTGGAATTCATCAGACGAGAACAGCAACCGTTCCATCAGCATCATCGACGCGCCGTAGGCAATCAGACAATCACTAAATTGGAATTTCCAATTCCTAACAAATTGAGGCCCTTACCGTTCCATTTCTCCCAGACGCAGGCCACCCTCCCGCGATCGACCTTCCGTTGGCTGACGTGTCAAGGCGGCTCTAGAGAAGACTCCTCAATATCCAACCGAAAATACCTTGGACCGCGCGCCCTGGCGTGAATCTTGTCGATGACCATGTGCTTCAACTTCTGGTAGTAGATCGGCCCAAAATAGATGTAGGCGGACAGTTGCTGCCCGGTGATGCCCGAGGTCAGCATGTCCTTTCCCATAAAGTTGTAGCCGTAGCGCGACAACTCTTCGCAGACGTCTTTCACCTAAAATCAAGTAAAAAAAAATAGAATTAGGTGCATGGTACCTGATCGCCGCCAAAAGCGGTGCCATAGTGGAAGCGGCCGGTCATGATCGCGTTCTTTCCGGAGAGCAGCTCCATTAGCTTGCCGACAGTCATCCGAGACGGGTATCCGTGCGGGTTCATGATCATGTCGGGGCACTAAAACGGAATCAATAAGTGTTGTTTCTTTCCAAAAAGTGTTTGCTAAACACAAAACGGTCACAAATTTTTATCAAAAAATTTTAACTTTTTAGACATTAGCCTAAGTTTTCTAAATAGTTTTCCACTTGAAATTAGCTAAATTTAATCAAAATGTCACTAAAACTCTATGCACTGAAGATATAGGAATAATTTATCCCCCCGATTTTCCGAGAAACCAGCGCAAAACTCTTACCATTCCCAAGTCATTGAAAGGCATATCTTCTTGTTGCGCGATCAGCCCGCAGACACCCTTTTGCCCATGTCGAGACGAGAACTTGTCGCCGAGCTCGGGGCGACGAGTCTGTCGTAGCAGGACCTTGATCAAATGCGCCTCATCATCATTGTGTGTAAGTAGGACTCGTTCTGCGTATGCTGGGGTGATGCTCTAAAACGATATTTTATAGTTTCACCTAAAATTCGTACCTTGTAAGAAATGGAGACATCCTTGTACTCGACATCTCGGCCGGCAGGTGTGACGCTGCTCATTCCTAAAATACAGTGAAATATTCAAAAAAAATAAATAACCAGGAGTCATTGTCGAATCGCCGGTCTGGTTCACGATCGGCATATGCTTGTTGATCATCGTCTGCTTGTTCTCCACTCGCGCGCCGGCGAACACGATGCCTTCATGGTCGAGGACCTAAAAAAGTTTTTAAGCCCACGTTACAAGAAAACCTTATGCTTGTAAATGGGCTTCCTCGTCGTCGCATCAACACTTGGGCCCATTAGGCGATCGCTCGTCTGATTCGGGTATTTCCGGGCGTGGCCCTTTGCATTCTTGTACAAAAGACATCGGCCGTACCCTAAATCAGATAGATATGAAAATGGCTTTAGAAAAATGATAAACCAATTTTAGCAAAAAATTCCACGATTTTTTTTGTCAAACCTCGATCAAGCGAAGCCTTGTTGAGCACGATGGCGTCTTCAATATCGTAGCCCGAGTACGACATGACGGCGATGATCCCATTCTGGCCGGCGGGCAGCTTTTCAAAGTTGGTGAGCTCGATCGTCTTGCTCTTCACGAGCGGCCTTTGCGGGTAGACGAGCAAATACATCATACTGTCGATACGCTGCTGCTGGTTGTACGCGATTGTGCCCATAGCCTAAAAAAATTAGTAATATCAATTTTTCATCAAAATTTCGTACCTGTTTACCCATAGCGCACTGGTAAGTGTTCCTAGGCGACTGGTTGTGATGGGGGTACGGCACCAAGCCGGCGCATACACCAAGAATTGTGAACGGTTCAATCTAAAAAATAGTAAGAAATAAATAAGTAGTCCAACGCTACCTCCAAATGAGTCGATTTCTCGTTGATGTCCTTCTCATACATGGCGATCATGGCGTCGTTCATCTCGTTGACATCAAGATACCTGATTTAAACTTTAAGAACGACTCGGAATCTCCTACTCAATTAACCCTTCCGCGACAAAGTCCTCGAAAACGCGCAAGCCGCTCTTTATGTCCTAAAAAATCAATTATCTCCAAAGCCCTTTCTGTTTTTACTTCAATGTGTTGTTGCTTTAGAAGCGGCTTCTGGTTCTCGACGATAATGTAGGGTCTGCATAACCGGCCTCCATCAGACGAAATGAAGACACTTCGTTGGGTGAAAGACCTTAAAACCTTTCTCGAAAATTTTTCCAATCACCCACCTCGAAACGGAGACAAATTCACTGAAAAATCCGCTTCTTCGTAACGCCCTCACGGCCGAGACGACGCGATTCGGGTCAACGGTGGAGCCCGTTAGCTGTCCGTTGAGGAAAACAAGGTGGTAGCGCCTAAACTATACATATTACCTGCATTTTATTAATCCTCACGGATCGTGGAGGTGACTGAAATGGGCACGCTTCAAGTCTTCGACACCGCTGTTGTAGAGCAGACGTAGCACCGGCTGAAACAAAGCTAGCATAGACAAAACAAAAACAAAATATCTTTTCATCACAATCGGTGGTGATGTGCGAAATCAAGGCCAAATTTTTCACCAAGCCGCAAGCTTCTCCTTCTGGCGTATCTGAGGGGCAGACCATGCCCCATTGCGAGGGTTGAAGCGATCGAGGACCAGCCACCTTTAGAAAAAACGTTTAAGGCTGTTGAGTTTGAAAATACTTTTCGTGTCTTCTCGAAAGTCGAATTGATCCTGGTCATCATGCCCAGTGCAGAGATGTAGGAGAGACGGGAGAGAACTTGCGTCACGCCATGTCGCTCCATCCGGAACCGCTTGATAATCCAGTTTCCAGAGGACAGCGAATTGACCAAGGTGTTGGTGATCATGTCCTGGATGCGGATATGGAGCACGAAAAGCCTAGCTTTACCTGTCGCATATGCTTGACAATATCCAACGGGGCGGCTAATGTTTTGTTGAGGAAATTGTCTGCTATCCGTTTGAGTTCCATGTTGAATCTGGAATCGAAGAAATACAATTCCCTCGAAAAAATTACCTCTTGAAAACGTCCTCAAACAGCAAGGCAAGCAATGAACCGGCAAGCTCAAGCCGCTTGTTTCCGTAAAAATCTCGATCGTCAACGTCGCTCTCACCCAGCTCGGCCATTATCAATCTGCAAGGATATAAAAACTATGGCAATTAAGTGTACCGTCTACACATTAGCCCCAAATATATGGCCTTCAGCTTGAAGTCGCCATTCTCGACGGGCACATGGCAGATCATGCCGCTAGAGAGGAAATCCAGCGCCTCGTGGTCTTTCACCGAGACTTCGATCATCGTCTGGTGCGAGGTGCCGAAAGAGCCGAACGGCTTGCGCACTTTCACCTGAGGTTTTTAAGTCTTTGGCTGAAAAAAAACGGAATCCCACCTTGGCAGCTAGATAATTGAGCCCTTGTTGCTGCGTGTAGATTCCATGATTATGAGCGTCTTCTAAACCAAAAAAAGATGCAAAAGGAGGCTCATTTTACCGATAGTTCGCGTAAACGAGTCGATAAAGCGCTCCTCGCGACCGATCGCCGACATCATGTCAAAGTCCGAGACCAGGCCCATAGCCTAAAAATTATATTAAAAGACCACGAGGGCAAAATCACCTTGTAGATGATCGAGATCGGAATATCGTCGCTGAGCTGGTTGTGCCGAAGCAAATAACGACCCTTCTTGGCAATCACGTACGTCTTCGACTTTTTCTCGGTCGTGGAGGAAAGGACCTGAAAAGATATTCTAGAGAAAAAAAAAACCAAAATTCCTCACCTCGCATTGCAATTCTTTGCTCGAGTTGTAGCCGATCATGATGCGGTTCTTGCTGAGCTGCTCCTGGATGAGCACCACCTTTTCGGATCCCTAGTTTAATTTAATGGAGAAACCTTAAATTATATTACCTTGACGACAAAATAACCTCCCGGATCGTAGGGACATTCCTTGACGCGCGCCAATTCCTCTTCTTCCTAAAAACAAAGTAAAAAAATAGTATCGGCAGCGCTACCAAGTCCCGCAGAATGCATTTGCTTGATCGCAGCATAATCGGCATCCGGCCAATGCAGAGGTCCCGTTTGATAACTCGCTGGTTTCCACGAGTATATTCGACGTCGACGGTGATTGGAGCCGCGTAGGTCATATCACTAAAAAAAAATTAAATTTTTAGACTGTTTTCTACACTCTCACCGTAACCGGCATTCCTGAGGCGTAATTTTATCGTTGATCTGGTTGAAACCCTCTTCACTGGATGGGTGGCCTACCCGAATATCCAGATACCTAGATATGTGGTTAATCAAGGACCGGAGACAAACTTCAAATAAAAGTTTGGGTTGGCATCACTGGTGATCTTCTGGTTGCTCATGATGATATTTTTGATGTCCTCGTTGACAAAGTAGTCGAACGAGACGAGATGCTGCTTCACCAGGCCACGAACCTAGAATTTATCGCATGAGGTAAACGTCAAATACAAAAGTATACCTTTAAAAATGCTGGTACAAGACGCCATTTTTCCTCTAGCGGGATGGCTTTCTGTTCTTCTGGTCGCTCCTTCATGGAGGGCCTGAAAAGAAAGAAAAGTAAAGTTTTAAACTGCAAAAGATTAGTAAAAATCGAGGGGATAGAGCCTGTAAAAGGCTTTTCTGTCACCAACGGGGACTCGAAAGAGCGCTAGGGGATAGTATTGCTCGTAGTCTGTAGCGCCTTGCCAGGGAAGTTGGGCTCCCCGGCTCTGTTAGATGTTTGTCAAAGCTTCAAAAAGTCAATGAAAACAGCTTTTTCGTTACAGAAAGTATATTTGAAGCACTAGTAAAAGTAGAAAAAGTAATTTAGCAGTGTTGCTCAAAAAACGAAACTTTCCAAATGACGACACTTTTTCTGGCTGCTTGCCAGTTTCCGAAAATCCGTAAATTGCCCATTTTCGGAACTTTCATTCCGTATTTTGGGACCATGAATTTTGCGCAACGAATTTTGCGCAACTCGGGGAAAACGAATTTTGCGCAACACGCGAATTTTGAGCAACTCCCACAAAACGAATTTTGCGCAACTTTTGGTGAAAAAAATATAAAAGGCTTACAAATATGGTTTTTTCATTGCTTTTTGCTGCCGATAAAATAAATGAAGGAATGTAAGAGCTAATCGAAGAAAATTTCCAACACTAGCGTGTTGAATAACGGTTATCTCGTGGATTTTGGCATGGCCGCTGGTTTTCGTGATTTGAAACTGTTTTCTGTGAACTTGAACTATTAGAACGCCCCAATAGTTGTTCTAAGGCCTTTCTTGATCAAGAAAACTACACTGCCGCGGCATATTCCCCATTACCTCGTCGAACACCATATGTCATGCTAGTCGATTATCGTCTAAAGAGCGATTTCGAACCTACTTTACATTTTTCCTACATTAAGTATGGAATACATTATTTTATTTTAATAGAAAACGCTTGACTGAAAATGAAACTTCTTGTTATCAACGATTTTAGCAAAAACCGGCGGCCAGGCTAAAATCCACGAAATGACCGTTATTCGGCACGCCGGAGCTGAAAATTTGCTTCGATTAGCTCTTACATTCCTTCATTTATTTTATCGGCAGCAAAAAGCAATGAAAAAACGATATTTGTAAGCCTTTTATATTTTTTTCACCAAAAGTTGCGCAAAATTCGTTTTGTGGGAGTTGCTCAAAATTCGCGTGTTGCGCAAAATTCGTTTTCCCCGAGTTGCGCAAAATTCGTTGCGCAAAATTCATGGTCCCCGTATTTTTCATTTTTTTTTTGGTTTTTTATTCATGTATTGATTACGACGATTAACCCACTCCATTTCAGATGTCGTTCTCGGTGCCGTTGAGAAGTGTGGCGCAGCTGCAGCGAGCAGTGCTGCTCTCTCGAGTCGCCGTCCCACGCGCAGCCCTCGCCGTCAGAACATCGACGACGCTGAACGACGGCGCGAACAAGGCCCCCGACTTTTCGCACCATTTCAAGGTTGTTTTGCGTTTTTGATTAATCTGTACATGAACCTTGACAGTACGAGCGCATGTGGTCGGCCGCCCTTCTCCCCGTCATGCCGGCCGCCTACTTTGTCCATGGGCCCGTCATGGACGCCGTTTTGACGATTGCCCTATCGCTGCACATCCACTGGTAAGCAGCTTTTCCTTCGTAAAAGTTGACTTTTTCACCTATTTATAAATCTGCTAATTCATCTTATTTTTAGGGGAGTCCAAGCTGTGATTGCTGATTATGCTCGCCCAATTCTCATGGGATCCGTAAGTTTACTTGAAGGATACTCACCTCTTTTTCTAGGGTCCGGCAAAGCTAGCCCGCGCCTCATCCTACCTTCTCACAGCTCTCCTAATCGCCGGTCTCCTCCACTTCAACACGAACGACGTCGGGCTCACGAAGGCATTCTCCATGCTCTTTTCTCTGTAGAAATCTTACACCGTCTGTACTTGTAGCCTTCCTTTTATGTGCCTGGTCATAGTTTCTAGTAGTAGCTATCATCTTGTGTACAATCAGTCATTTTTCTTGCTTAGTTTACAAATCATTGTCTAGCCGGTTGGACTTGAGACGTTCTCCTGAATAAAGTTTATTCGATTTGGCGATGTTGATGTGCAGCAGACGTTTGAACGGGTTTTACTAAAGGAGGATACAAATGGTCATTACATGATGCTCGCATTTATAGATAGAGCATGACGAAGGGCAAGAAGTCGAAGAATCAAAAGAAAAAGTTTTTTGGCCACCCGTCGAACAAGGGGAAGGTGCCGAATGCCTTTTTGTTAATATGAATTGTTTATTAGGTTTTCAAAAAGACCTATCCAGCGCCGGCCAAAACAAGGGAGCTACGAAAACGCGGAGATTTTACATTACTGCCCACTGATGGATTTTCTGTCCCCAGGTGTCAACATGGTACGTAAAAAGAATAGCTTTTTTATGGTTTTAGGCCCAACGTTGCTTTTTGGACAGAAGAAGAATGGTCAGATTGAGAGCAGATTCTTTACGTGTGCAGTCTATAGGTTTGATACTTCTCCTGGCGACCGAACGAATTTTAGAAACAAGGAAAAATGCTCGTTCAAGGTTGGGGTCGACCAGCACGGGAATCGACTGCCGCCCTTCGCCGACTGCGACATCACACCAAAAGCCGTTAAGAACAAATACAATTATAACTGCGTGAACAAGTCGTAAAGGATTCAATTCTCGACGAAACTTTGCTTCTAGGTTGAAATCATTTGCAAAGGACGGGAAAATTATTTGGTGCAGTGAATGCATGAACGTAAGTTTCTAAATATATTTTTTTGTCATTGGAAGCTTAGATCTTTGAAAATCGCCATCCGCACCCAGACTGCCAATTTCTCGAGCGAAAGATGGTGAAATATCCATCGAAGTTTCTGGACGCGTTGGTCGATCCTCTTGCAGAAGCGGTAAAATCAAAAGAATTGGAAAAATTTGTTCATTTTAGCAATTCTTCTTCTCTGATGAATCTCTGACGATCCTGAAGCAATTGGTGACGGGGAATGGAGCAGATTCGGTCCTGTGTATTGGTAATTATTCAAATTTTGTTGTATATCATGTACTTGTTTTAGGCGCCCCAAGGCTGATGGAAGCGTTACGTGCCGAGAAAAGTGTACCAAACTTGTTCATGCTCGACATTGATAAACGTTTTGTAAGTTTTAATGAGTTTCTTGTTTTCAAGGAAACAGTTTAGGAATCTTTCTACAAAAGCGCCCAATTTGCCCAATACAGTATGCTGACGCATCATTTCTTCGACCCGAAAAGCGAATCCAAGGTGCAATTTCCTCAATCAAAACAGTTAAACGGTTTTAGTTCAATGCTTTCCTCGGCAAAGCCAAGAAGCTGGTCGTGGTCTGTGATCCACCTTTCGGGCTATTTGTCGAACCGTTGATGGCGAGCATCCAGAAGATAAAAACGGCATTTGAAGCCCATGGGTATGTTTAAAGAAGTTTTAAATATGATCGTCATTTGCAGAAAAGCCGATAGAACTTTTGACACGGTTCTGATCATGCCAATTTTTGTGGGTAAGCGAGCCCTGTTTCTGGACAAGGAACTCCATATGCACGATTACAAGGTACTTTAAAAAAATTTTCGGTTAAGTTTTTGATCAGGTCACCTATTCCAATCACAAGTCGTTTGCGAAGCCGCAGAGGAGCAGCGTTCGGATTTTTACAAATATCCCGGCGACGAAGATTGACCTGAAAGATCTGGATGGATACAAGTAAACATAAATTTTTTTTAATGATTTTATTCGTTTAGATTCTGCGATTATTGCGAGTACTGGGTGCACAACGATAATAAGCACTGCTTTATGTGCATGAAATGTACTTCCAAGGTACGTTTGTCTATACCATTGGACACCTAAAGCTTTATCTAGGACGGATCGGAGTACCGCCACTGCGGACCCTGCATGCGCTGCTTCAAGGCGGCCTACAGACATTGTAAGACCTGCGAGCGCTGCCATATTCCCGGAAGGTAACTTTTGTCAAGCGGCAAATTGATATCTTTTTAGATGCCAAAAAGCTGAAGGTTCCAAGAAAATTTCCGATGAGCCACAGGCGTATGAAGCTTACGAGGATGAGGAAGAGGCCTACGGCGAGGAGGAGGAAGGAGAAGAATAGATCGTTGTGAAATCAATTGTTGTTGTTGTTAGTTTTTTTTGTTACGTTGTTTTGGCCAATAAAGCCAGGGTCAATGGCAGAAAATTCTGTAAATCCTAACAATAACAAACGGTATTCAAGAAAAAATAAGCGCAGCTCAAATCCGGACCGAAAATACAACTTTCAGAGACAAATTTTTCCGTCCGTAGTCGTTTTGCAATTTTTGAACGATCGGATGGTTTCACAATTTCGCGCTCTATGGAATGAGCGATGGGACGCCGGAGAGCGAAAAAAAGGAGCGTGAAACGACTCGTGTAAACCTCTGAAAATTAGCATATACGTTCGGGAGAATTCCGGAACTATGCCGTAATTTGGGTACGTTTCCGCGTATAAAATAAGGCGCCCCGGCGATGAGGGACACGATACCCTACATCGTCATCAGACCTCAGCAGCAATGGGCGACAAGTCGGCGTACATGACCCCTGGCGGATACAGCGGCGGTGGTGGTGGCGGCGGCGGAGGTGGCGGAAGCTATGCCCGGTAAGCTATTTGCATGCCTTCTATCTTTGCATTTTGAAGACTTATTCTATTTTCTCTTTTCAGCGAAGACTACGCTTTCGGTGGTGGCAGCTACGGAGGCAGCAGCGGTGGAGGCGGTGGCGGAGGTGGCGGCGGCTCGTCGACCCCCGGCGTGACGAAGCCCCGCACCGATGTGTCGTGCTACATGGGCCCGTGCTGAGCGGCGCCGCGGTCCTGCTTCATCTACGAGCGAAATAACGAAAAGCGGACCACTCGGCACTCACTGCACATGCACATCCCCTTTTCAATAAAGTGCTTTTGAGTCATGGACTATGTGTTGCAATTGAATTGATGTTATTTCCATTATATACTTGAATTGAGACGGCTGGCGGTAGATTTGAGAGGCGAGGTTCGCCGATAATTCCTCATTCGGAGCCTTTAGACAAGCTTGATCTTGTCCAGGCAAAAAGAACAGAAAGAACAGGCAAACCGTTGACCTGATCACCTTTTCGGGTAGGCCGCAATGAATTATACTTTCTATTAAAGGTTTGAGACACGTTTTCAATGAGTTTCAACGTTTTCAAGACAATCAACGAGTACAATCTGGAAGCGGCTGCAACCTGGCAACATCCACGCGGATTGGTGTGACCGGAGGTGCCGGGTGAGGGAGGGAGACGCTGCTGGCCGGGCTCTTTTACTGTAGAAAATGAAATGGGTGTGTATGGGAGAAGGCGGGGGCTGATGGATGGGGGTAGTGAAAAGTGGGGCACTAGATGGCTAATGAAACCCCCGGCGTCAGCCCCCCGCTGAGGATGACCGTGGCTGTCGGGCTTTGAACCCTGCCGTCCGTTGGCAGCCGCACAAAACGGAACGGAATTTGGAGTGATTAGTGCTATGGGTTTGTAAAATTTAGGCGACATCTTTAGAAATATTGTTTGCTGAATTTTCGCGCATTTTCGAGATCGATTGGTAGTATAAAGGTTAGCACTCGTCTGTTAGCGGGGGGGGGTATTTTCCCCGCCTACCTGCCGATCATACACAATGGATTTTTATAACGTTTTTAGTAGTTTTGATGGCAATAAAGTTTTACCGCAGTATTTTGGAAGTTTTCAAACTTGATTTTCTTTAAGCTTATTTTTATTATTATTACTTGAAAACTTTTTCGTCATTTTTCAGAGATTTCTACGAAAAATTCAAAAATTTCGAAGATTTTTATGGTCTTTCTATGCTTTTTTATCTACAAAGGGTGTAAACATATCTATAAAATGGGTTACATTCCGTTACAAAGCCGTAGCTTACCGAAAAAATTTGTTTCCGCCCCGCTAACAGCCTAGTACCAATTATACCAATATGTTTGGGTTCTTAAAAAGACCCGAAGAACCTTCAATAATTCTAAATTTTCATAAATAGCTTCGACGAAATGAAAATTGTTTGCGCACCACCACATTTCTGAAGCATTGACCCAATTTTTCGCATCAGACCGAGTTCAGCTGTACTAGAATGCAGCCTTGCAACTGATACCCCGGTCAGCACGTACCGGACGTGTTTTTCCGCGCAGAGAGTTTGCTTTTTTCGGCTCTATACCGGTAACGGGGTCCTTAAAAAAAATAAGGGTCCTTAAAAAAAATAAGGGTCCTTAAAAAAAATAAGGGTCCTTAATAAAAATAAGGGTCCTTAAAAAAAATCAGGGTCCTTAGAATTTCAGCTTAAGGACCCCTGTCCCGACAGGGGTCCTTAAAATAGATGCTATTTTTAAGGACCCCGATTCCGGCAACTCCCGAAAATACAGTATTTTGACCGATTTTGAACAGATTGTCCCTCGTTTAGCCATTTACATTACGCGGCTTTCTAACACACAGTTTGTGCCTAAAAATAAGGCTTCGTGCCACCCCGGGGCCTAGTCGCTTCGGATGGGCGCGAGCTCGTACAGGGTTTCGAAATCGGGGCGCCCGAGGCGCGCGCAGCGGCCAGGCGCCCCGATTTCGAAAGAGTGGAGCGGCAGCCCATCCGAAGCGACGGCCCGCCTTGCCTGACACGCCATAAGCCTCAAATCGTGCTCATCCCCACAGAAACTTCCACGCAATCTGACGTGCTAGGTTTTTTAGCCAGGGACAATTCGAGGCTTAGGGTGTGTCAGGCAAGGTGGGCCGTCGCTTCGGATGGGCTGCCGCTCCACTCTTTCGAAATGGGGGCGCCCCCGGCCGCTTCGCCGGCCTTGGCGCCCCCATTTCGAAACCCTGTACGAGCTCGCACCCATCCGAAGCGACTAGGCCCCGGGTGGCACGAAGCCTTATTTTTAGACACAAACTGGGTGTAATTCAAAATGCGAAACAAAGGACAATCTGTCGCGAATCCGCGTCTCCGCGAAAACGGCGCAAATACTGTATTTTCGGGAGTTGCCGGAATCGGGGTCCTTAAAAATAGCATCTATTTTAAGGACCCCTGTCGGGACTGGGGTCCTTAACCTTAAATTCTAAGGACCCTTATTTTTTTTAAGGACCCTTATTTTTTTTAAGGACCCTTATTTTTATTAAGGACCCTTATTTTTTTTAAGGACCCTTATTTTTTTTAAGGACCCCGTTACCGGTATAGAACCCTTTTTTCAGCCATTTACGCGCCTGAAGAGACTGGAAGTCCAGTGGAAGAGATTGACCTGTAAGCCGCAGCTCGGTGAGGGATCTGCGAGGCATCCCCTAATTTCTCGTTTACAGCAGCGGCGATTGAGCCGTTCGGAAAACAAGGTTTCAGGGATTTGCACCTGGGCTTGTTTGGTACTGCACTATTAGCGGGGGGGGGCTAGAGAGAGGTGGCCACGCATTACACTCTCCGAAATTTCTTACTGAGTCCGGCAATGCCTAATACCGCGAAAGTAAGTCTTTCAATTGTGCTTTTAGTAAAATTTAGCGATATTTCCAGTGGAAATTACCTAAAAAGATAATTTAAGTGTCTAAAGGACCATAGAAGCCTAAAAATAAAGCGGAATGAATCTAAAAAGCTTCCAACATTTTAAAATTCGCAGTTTTGGTCGAAAATGGTCTTTTTTTAGGTTTAGGGATAAAAACAGTTTTGGAGACTAAAGAAAAAGTTGCCCGCCCCCGGTAATGCTAAAGAACGAAAATTGTCAAAAAGGTTCACATTTTACCATTTGGTAAGGCTGTTTGTATGTTTTTTTGAATAACGGAATATGTAATCCCCCCCCCGGTAACAGTCCAGTAACTAGCTGATCGGCGCCCCCCTCTAAGCACGACAGGCGGCAAGCTAGCAAAGATTTTTTAGGAAACGCCGCGTTAAGAAAAACCGTTCAGACCGAAAAACGGTTTTGAAACGCCGTTCGCCACGCCCCGAATTTTTTCTCGACCTCGGAAAATTCACTTTTTTCTTGGTCAACCCATTGAGCAAGAGCGAGAGACTGGATTGAGCTGTAAGCCGAATCTCCGCCGGGGGTCGGCCAATTTGGGAGCCTGGCCTGGAGCGCGAGAGATCGCCGTGGGGGGTGGCGTCAAAATTATCCATCCCCCCTCCGGAGAAACAGGGGAGGAGCCAGAGAAAAAGGGGCTTGTGATAGACAGTTAGCAAGAGCTCGTGCTCTTCATCCCGATTGGCGACCCCCAGGCTTCTTTCTGTTCCCTTCAGCCCTATCAACAACCGGCCGATTATTCGATAGGCTCTCAAGAACAGCCCTTACTTGTTAGCGGAAAAAGTGAAAGTCACGCTACCCGATCTACTCCTTTTATCAGGAATCTATCAATCAACCGGATCATTAGCGGGGCTTGACGAGTGTAAGTTTCTTTTGATTTTATTAGCAAAATAAAAAAGTTTTGTGCTGTTGCATTATCGGGGAGGGGAGATATCTGCCCAAGAAATCCACTTTTTCCTTAGCATCCAAATCTCTAACGAAATCGGAAACGTATTTCTAGGTTTTTTACAATTCCTTAATGTATGTACTTAATGTACTTTCAAGTTTTTTATGTATGTAGAAATTTCAAGGTGATTTTTTTACCAAAATGGCCGATTTCCGACCGAAATCACAATTCCCCGAATGCGAAGTCTTGATAAAATTTAGCGATATTTCAAGCAGACAAATTGTTTTAAAAATTAGAAAATAAATAGAATCTATTAATCGCCGTTTTTAGAAAAAAAACAACGCCGTTGTCAGCTGGGTGAATTTCGAGAAGAGAAAAATCGAGGAAGACTCGGCTTCATCGCTGCCCTAAAATTACCCGACCGTCACGATGCGCTCTTGGTTTTTGTTGTTGATACTCTACGCCAGTTACGCCGAAGCTGATGAGAATTGGCGAAGTGAGTCGAGCTTGCGATTTCGTATTTTTTTCGTAAATCTTAAAAGCAGGCGTCTACGTTGTTTTCCACTTTTCGTCCTTTTCGGATAACCAAACCCTTTCGGAAAATCTCGAATTTCGGAAATTTTTCTAGATTTCCTAAAAATTTATTTGGCGCTTGAAAGTCGCTAACATTTATGAGAAACGCTTTTCAAATGTTTTCTATTACGGTACCAGGCATTACTAGAGCCTACAAATTTATGCCTCCCCCGATAACGCCAAAGCACCGCTAACTGAATTTTAGTTGTAAAAAGCTTTTCCTGGTTTCCTAGAGAATAGAAAAATTGTACCCCCCTCCTATAACCACTCCCCCCGATAATGCCAAAGCACCGCTAGCAGAACTTTCGTTGTGAAAGCCTTTTCCCGGTTTCCTAGAGCATAGGAAAAACTATACTTCCGCCTATGACCCCCAATATTGCACAAGCGCCCGAAGCTTGTTTTTTTGCAAAATAATTTGTTTGGTAATCATTAAGGTCTTGCAAGATAGTTAAAATCCAAAAGAGGCTTTCCCGCCCCAACACCCGGGATAAAATTCCCAAATTCGCGCGACATGTTCGCTTGTCCTTAACGAATCTCGTCTAGACGCCAGAATCCAGTTTAATCCAGATTAATCACCGGTTTTTGGGGGGTGTCTCCCGAATGCCTCCCGCTGTGTTTTCCGCGCGTAACCAGTCTTCCCTCGGAATTCTCGCCCTTTTTGCTCACCGCCCCCCGCCAACGTTTATCGGCGCTAATCGCAATGTTATCAAAGCGAGATCCCTCATTTTTACACGTTCCTCCCCCCTGGGCGGCTGCTTATCAACCCCCACCAGGCGCTTGCATAATTTATGGCGATTTTAAAGGGGTGGAGAAGCGGAGAAAAGAGATTCTAAGTGCAACTCCCCGTTCCCCCGAAATCCCGGGTTTTGATGGGTGGGGGGAGCACGGCTCGTTCGGGAATGAGGGAAATTTCCGCGAGCGGCAATTGGGCTGGTTTTTGGCTTTACCCGGAAAAACACAGCGGGAAGCGATCTTCCGGAACAGACGATTGGGTGCCGATCTCGGGAATGAGGAATGCTGGAACTGATTAGAGGAACGATCCAGCTAGGGTCAAGCCGAAGCCTGAGCCTAAGCCAAGCCAAAGTCAAGCCTAAACAAAACCTAAGTCTAAGCTAAGCCCAAGCGTAAGCCTAGGCCAAGCTTGCTAGGTTTCAAGGTGTTTCAAATCATGATGAGTTCTAAAAAGTTAAAAAGCAAAAAGCTTAACTTTTCTAAATAGTTTTCCCGCAAGAAATATAGCTGGTTTATAAAAAGCACCATTAGAATTTCTATGAGGTCCTCCTCCGATATTTGCAAAGCACCAAATCAAACTTTTAAGCCTAAAAATGGGCTTCCGCTTTTCAATTGCCGATTCGGCTCCCGATTCAATCGTTGCTCGCCTAAAAATAGTTGCCTTATCAATCTCGAACCCGAAATTTAATCCGAGATGTTTCCGCGCGCTGGTGACTTTCAAAGGTTGACCCATAAAGCGCGCGATCACCCGGAAAAAAGTGATGAAAAAGAACAAGAAGTGGCTCGATTTCTTGGGAAAATCAAATTGAATCAAGAGGTCAAAAGACGCAAAAAAGAGCGATATTTACGGTGTTTTTCATCGCTTAATTTTTCGTGCACTTAAAAACTCTCTAAAACACCTTGAAACGGTTGGAGTTTTCGTGGTGCATTTTCGTTTATTGGGCGATTTTGATCGATCAGGTTTGAATTAAAAACACCGAAAAAATGGCAGATTTAAAAGAATCGTAAAATCGAAAAACGCAAGAAAAATCAAATTTTAATCATGTCACAAAATTGTGAAATGCTGCGAAATTTTAGCGCCAAGAGGGATATTTTTTGCCACAATTAAGGTTCTTTATACGCGTAAAACAACGGAAATACAGTTAATTCATTTTCAGTGCTACGCCCATGCTTCGAGCGGTACCTCCAGACGAAGCTCGCCAACCTCGTCCCGTTCCATTCTGAAGGCCGAATGCCTACTGAGGACCATTGCCTCCGGTTTTGTGCTGAATCCGCGGTAAGCTTTGAATATAACTTTTCTACGTATTTATAGAATCAAACTAGATCCATTTTTTTATAGAAGAGATTTAGAAAATTGAAATTGAAAAGAATGAACTAATAAAAAAGGAATTTAGTCCCGCTGCCGGTCGATCGTGTACGAGCCACTCCGCCACGTCTGCCACTTTTTCCTGGATGAAGGCTCCGATATGGCCGTACCCGCGCAACACATGTCATACTTTAAAGTGACGACGCAGGAGTGTTTGGGTGGGTTGTTAAAAACAATTTGATAAGCTTTAATTGGTTCAAACGAAAAGTTTCAATTATTAGCCTGTCTTTTTGAAGTGATAGCAAACATAAAAACTGAAAACTTGCATGATTGATAATTGATTTCATTTCGACTTTATTAAATGGTAGCACACTCCAAAAAACTAGAAAATACATACATTAATTATCAATAAAAAACTTCTAAATTCAGACCACGTCTCCGAGGTGCTCGGCCCGATGGATATCGAAGGAGAAGAAGTCGAATTTTCGCCGATCGATGAAGATTCGCCAGGCTCAGCCCCGATCACTACAACGCCAGCAGCATCGACGAAAGAAACTGCTGCGCCGTTGGTGAGTTTTTAGAACTTTTCTATAAACTTAATTTAGGAGCTACAAGACGATACTTTCTCCATTCTACCCGTTGAAAGCTCTACGCAACCCCTGCCCACATTGGCTACAACTTTACAAGACGAAGTGGCTACCGACAAGGCCGTTGAGGTGAGGAAAATTTTCTATGTGATTTATATAGCAAGAAAAATGAGCAATTAAATTAAAACTATTCAACATCAGAAGAATTTTGGGCGTTCTCAATTTTTTTAGGCGTTTTTTTTGTACTTTTTCTTTTTTATTTCGGCTCTTTCGGGCTTGTCTATCGATTTATACTTCTAGTTTTTCCCTTTTTCTATTATTATAGTTTAATGTAGATTTTATTCGTGCCCTTCTGCACTAAATACTAATAAAAACGAACACCAGATGTCCCGCGAGTTCACCACCCACCTGCCGCCCGCCATGGCCAAGCCGCACGAGGGTAGACGGGCTTCTTCGATGGATACTGTACGTGTGATACTTACTTTTTTTGGTTTTACACTTTTTGATCAGCGCTATTTGAAGTTTGTCATTTGATGTATAAGCCCGCGGTGCTTGTGCAATATCAGGGGGGCGAGCTTAAGTTTTGCTAAGTTTCAGATAAGCCCAGAAAAGTAATTTCAAATATTTCAATAGTGCTCTAGATCAAATTTTACTCTATTTCAAGTGAAATGCTATTTAGAAAACTTAGAAAAATTCTTGACGTATTGAAATCTTCGTCGAAAATCGATCATTTTTGGTCGTGATATGAAGATTTTTTGTAGTTTCTCCATAAAAAAAATCAATATATCGCGATCAACATTTTAAAAACTATTATCATGGTAAAAACGTTTAGAAAAGTCACTAATTTCGAAATTTTTGAAATTTTTAGGCGAACATTGTTTTTTTTGTTTTTAGGAAAATTTGTGAATGTTTGCGGTTGGGAATAGGATAAAATAGCGTATAAACACGCTCCTATTTAGTAGAAAAATTTGACCGTAAGCACCCCTCCCCCCGATATTGCACAAGCACCATATCGCCAAGGTTACCTCCCCGATTTAGGAAGAAGCAGAACGAGAACTGCGGGCAAAGATGCAGACCCTGAAAGAGCTGTTTCCGCATAAATTCCAAGAATTGATGAGGGAAAGAGAGGCGGAAGACGAGGACGAGGATGAGGCCGCCGACCTGTTGAAAGCGGCCAAGCCGACACCGGAAGAAGTGATGCAACCGAAACCGATGGCCGTCCTCCCACCCAGCACCCCGGTACGCTTCACCCTAGCACTACAATTTTTCATTTTTTCTTTTTAAGCGTGATATTTTTAATTCAGAGCATTTCTGCCTTATTTAGAAAAACATGATTTACCTTTTTAAAGATTACTACTAGCTGAAAAAGTGGAATTCTTGAGAATTGCCATGTTTTGAAGCGAACTTTGTAACTATTTAAACTTTTTGATTTTTAAATGTGGTTTTTAGCATTTCAGTAATAGCGCAAAAAATTTATTTCTTCTAAATTAGTGGGTTTTGGCTATTTTTAGCTAGCTAAAACTCTTAATTCGTAGCTTAAATCCATTAGAAATAGATATTTTTGAGCCAGACTTTTTCATAGCCTTTTTGTAATGACGTGAACGCAGATAAAAATTAGCGATTTTCAAGAACCGACTCTAAATTTATTTTTTTGGCTAATTATATAGTTTTCCTTATTCTAAAGTTTATTCTATGTTTTTAGATTCGAAAAGAAACCGACATTTTCCCGGAACCGCTGCCAGAATCGGAAGGGACGACCGAGGTAAAGTTTGGATGAAAAAATTATTTCTAATGAAAATAGCTTTTAAAGCCATTTATAAACTTTATAAACGATTTTTAGCTATCTCCCGCCCGAAGATCCCGATTTTTCACGAAAGCCAAGGTGCTCCAGATGAAGGAGGAGCAGCTACAGCCCGGCAGGCGCGGCAAGTTCGACACCGCCAGCGTCCCGTTGAACTTTGACGGGGTTAGGAGAAGCCCAAAGCGAGTTGTGCAGGTACGAGTTGTTGTTTATTTGCACCCATTATTTATATTCTTCGGATTTAACTAAAGTTTAACTCTTTCAGTCGGAGTACGAGGACGTCAGCAACGAGGCGGCCGTCCGAAGCCCCTACCTCGATAAGGCCAAGAATTTCTTGCAGGGAATCACGGGCGGCAGTGATGATGTGAGGACTAAATAATATTTGATTTGGGGCTTTTCTGTTATCGGGGGAGGGTTTCTCAATTTAATGTTTTTTCAGATATCGAAAAACGCTATTTTTAAATTTTTAAAGAGGAATTTCGCCCGGTTTTACGTTTAGAAATAGGCAAAATTGGTTTAGAACGGGCAAATCGATTTATATAAAAAACTGAAGCTCAATTTTGCGCTCGATTTTGCGAAATAGCGTTTAGTGTTTTTACCATTACGAATATAAACAAATTTTCCCCCTCTGCCCCCCCCCCCCCCCTACGGATAATGCAAAAGAGCCAATTTTTAGTAAATTGCCTTTTAGGAAGAAGAAGACGTCGACTACGACAGCTCCGAGCAGCAGCCGGAGCCGAAAACCCAAGTCCAGCCGGCCGCCGAGGTTATTTCCGCCCCGCAGGCTTCACGACGCGTATTCCCGCAAGAAAAGAGGGTCCTGAAGAAAGTGCCGCGTAAGAGAATTATCTGAATTCTATAATTGGCCATATTTTAGCATGCTACCCCGAGGAGGCGCCACTTTGGGTGCTGTGGGAGGGCGCGGATCAAGACATGGGCCACGGACCCGACACGAATTGGGTCGAATCAAGGGCTCATTGTGAGAATCAGTGCAACGCGTTGGTAAGTATTTGTTTTGGATTTTGTAGCTTGTGGTTTGTAGTCAATAGCCTATAGCTTGTAGCCAAGAAATTCTCAGTTTTCAGCTAACCAAAAACCGTATTTTCCGAGCCTTTACGCATTGTAATTTTGTGCGAAACGCCGGTGATTTGTAGTTTCAATTTTCCAGCCTATTTTTTGTAGTTTGTAGCCCAAGAGTTGTACTTTTTAGTCATTATTGCTTTGAATAGTCCCAGAAACAGTAGCAGACGATTTGGACCTTGTAGTTTTATAGGAAATCCCGACGGTTGCGAGCGGTTTTTGCCGTTTTTAGCTCAGATTTTTGTTTTTCCGTTTTTTTGCCGATGGCTAAAATTAAACCCTTTAAATTTCTTTGAATTAATATATTTTTTTGTTGATAAAATTATTTGCGTTTTAGAACGACTGCCTCGGCTACACGTTCCACGACAAGACGAACCAGTGCGAGGCGACGCTAGACTTTGACGGCGTTTCACTACAGGTGCGGAAGTTTGGAAAGTTGCGTACAAAAATGTACTATTTTAGACGAGTCGAGCCCGCGACACATCCACCAGGACGAAATTCTGCTTCTCCGGTGGGTTTTTATACTTTTGCAGATCGCAGATTTTGAAAAATCGCATTTTTTGTGATTTTGATAAACCAAAGCGGAAAGTCGTTTTACAGTTATTTTTCGATTTTGATTTTTTAGACGATCTCCCCGTTTTTAATAACTGCCCTCCGATGCGCGGCTTCGTCGGTTATTCGCTGCAGGTTTGTAAAATGCAAAAAAATAGATTACACCAGAAAATTCCTACTTTTAAAAGACCAGAATTACATTGTGTAACAATAATAATCGTCTTTTCTATCTCTATCTCTCTCTCTCTCACTCTCTCTCTCTCTCTCTCTCTCTCTCTCTTTCTTTCTTAATTCTAACTAAGCTTAAGTCTCCAAATTCAGATGCAACCACGCGAAGAGTTCACCAACCTGCCCACCGGCTACGACGGGCTCCGCGCTTGCGTCGAGCTGTGCGTCCTTTCAACGGAGTATACGTGCAAGGTAATGCAACGGAATTTACCGGTTTTAGTTGTTTTTTTAGTCGGCTTCCTTCCTGGCAGCCGAGGGGCGCTGCCTTCTCAACACCGAGTCTTCGCAGACGCATCCGGAATATTTCCGGAAAACACCTGTTGCCGGGCATTTATACGTCGAGAATGAATGCAGCAGGACGATGTATTTATCGCCTGGAGGTAAGGAAATTAACAATTTTTAGTAACCAATTCATTTTAATAAGTTTATTTTTCGTGGGTAGTTGTATAGTTTATATTTAATAACGGTTATATTTAATAATCTTTATATTTTTAGAGCAAACCCACCAGTCGGTCCGTCGGATAGCCAAGCAGCCAAAACCCGTCTGGAATTCTCCAGTGGCAGCGGAGTCGCGTAAGAATTTTCATGATTTTTTCTTACATTTTCAAAGCTGACATTTATATATCTTTCCACATTTGCTTTCTTGATTTTTTAACATCCCCACGAATTTCAATTTTTGAAAATGGTTAAAAATCCATTTCCATCGATTTTAGCGTATGCGCGAGGAGTAAGCGGCAAGAAGCTTCGTATCGTCAAAATTAAGCCACAGCCAACAACGCCAAAGGTTAGTGAGAGAGAGCGAGAGAGAGAGTGAGAGAGAGAGAGCGAGAGAGAGAACAAAATCAAAAATTTTTAGCCCGATCCTCCGGCGGCAGTCGGCTTCATCGGAGCCTTCCTTCGCCGATTTTTCCGATTCTAACATGAAGCCATAACCAATGCAGGGACCGTGCAATTTCACGACATTCCATGATTTTAATGAATAAATAAATAAATTCGATAATTAATGTGTGAGAGAGAGAGAGAGTGAGAGAGAGTGAGAAAGGGGGAGAGAGAGTGAAAAATACACAAGCCGATTCACCATTTTCACTTCATTCTGATCCTGCTACGCAAATGGTGAACTTAAAGTCCAAAAAATCCGCCCCGTTCTTGAAATAAACAATTAAAAACCGAATTCTCATCACAACCACCTTTCCTGCGTGCATATCCGCGTATTTTTTGAATCAAAATGCCCACTCACTTTTTGTGGATTATTCTGCGGTCCAGGCGCAAGGATCAAAAACAAACACGTGTTGTGGGTGGGCAGGGCTGCCGTATTTTGCTCCTTAAAATCCGAGGAGGTCCTAGACTTTTCGAGCGGTCTGACCAACGAGGGTGGGCGCAAAATCTAGAAAATCTTTTTGAAATTGCAAAAAAATTCGGCAAAATTGGAAGATTAAAGGTAGACAAACTGGGGATCGACTAAAGACTGGGTCAATCTGGAACATTGGAAAAATTTGGGAATCAAAGGCGGTCTTTAAAGTGTCTGGGCTGTGACCTCGGAAGCCTAAGCCTAAGCCGTAGCCTGAGCCTGAGCCTAAGCCAAAACTTTAGCGTATGCCTAAGCCCAAGCCCAAGCTTAAGCCTTAGCATAAGCCCAAGCTTTCTCCTAAGACTAAGGCGAGCCTAAGCCTAAGCCTAAGACTAAACCCAATTCCATCTATTCATAAGCCCAATTGTCAGTTTCTGTCTCTCTGTCTCTCTCTCTCTCTCTCTCTCTCTCTCTCTCTCTCTTTCTCTCTCTGAATTCTACGAAATCTCCGAATCTGAAGCTAGCGGCTTGTGCTTGCCTTCGGCTTTGGCCTAAGCCTGACCTAACAAAGGAAGGGCACATGCACAGGTTGGAATTTCGAAAAACGCTCGCGGCTACCCCGGGGTAATCGACTACGGAGAACACGATGCTGTCGTCCGATTTTCCTGCCGAGGCTTGTGGACAGAGATACAGCACTTCCGGAAAATCATGCTTTGCATGCGAAAAATTAGAATCCGGGGAAGCTTTATTAGGCTCGCTCATCAGTATGCAATCACCAGTCGAGTGGCCGATTGGTAAGCAACTCGCTTGATAGGATACTGACGAGGGTACGGATCCTCTCACGATTTTTTCGTTTTGCTTTTTGACAAAATTTTTTGCACAAGTCCAGAACCGTTCCTAAATGTGTAAAAAGACGCCTTTGTGGCCCTGTAACACGTCTAGCAATCAAAGAAAAACTTTTTCGAAAATTTTATTTTTGCGATCTTTTGGGTACCTCACCCACCGGCTTATCAAATTCAAAAAATCTGGAAAATTTTTATAAAAGCGCTGTCTAACCAACTTGCCAGGGCCGTGCAACAGAATAAGGTGCAATAAAACCAAACGAGAGCGTGACGCTTGGCTTCTGCAAAAATTTTCCCGCAGAATTTTTGATCGTTTGGCAGTCGATGATGGGTGGAGGGTCGGAAAATAGAATTTTCGAAAAAGTTTTTCTTTGCTTGTTAGACGTATTACAGGGCCACAAAGGCGTCTTTTTACACATTTAGGAACGGTTCTGGACTTGTGCAAAAAATTTTGTCAAAAAGCAAAACGAAAAAATCGTGAGAGGATCCGTACCCTCGTCAGTATCCTACCAAGCGAGTTGCTTACCAATCGGCCACTCGACTGGTGATTCCATACTGATGAGCGAGCCTAATAAAGCTTCCCCGGATTCTAATATTTCGCATGCAAATCATGATTTTCCGGAAGTGCTGTATCTCTGTCCACAAGCCTCGGCAGGAAAATCGGACGACAGCATCGTGTTCTCCGTAGTCGATTACCCCGGGGTAGCCGCGAGCGTTTTTCGAAATTCCAACCTGTGCATGTGCCCTTCCCTTGTAAGAATCGAGCGTGGGCTTTTGCTCCGTCTTACCAGGTCTGCTTTAGGCGTACATTATTCTCCCGTTCAAACTCTCATCATCCCTATTTTCCATTTTGGGATTGGTGACTCAAGGCAGCACGTTTTTATCTTTCTTGTCATCTTTTCTGGCCATCCCCTCGAATCATAGCTCGGATTTGAAAGGTTTGATCAGGGATTGGTGGAGTTTTCAAGGATTTCCCTGTCTCTCTCTCTCTCTCTCTCTCTCGTCTTATCCCGACCTTCTCAAAAAGCACCTTTCGGATGTCTGAGGCCACCCACAAAGCCCTGCCGTATTGTACGCATCATGTCGGGTGGTGGTACACTAAATTTTGGAGAGGTCTGGCTTACCGTAATCCTCTGGGAGAGCCGCCGAACTTTTCATGGGGGGATTAGAGGGTTCAAATTTGGCCTTTTTCCGGAGCACGAAGATGATGCTAAAAACCTTTTAGTAAAAGTGAAGCGAGGCCGCTAGCAGATTTCCTTAAGGAAAAATTTCAAAAATGTCAATTGACATGATGAAAAGCTATAAATGACCATGCTAACAAGGAGACGTTTTTGAGTGTCGTCGGGACTTTGGCTGTGCAGGTAACCGTTTCCGAATATGGTAACCGTTTTTGCGGAATAGCCATTTCTCGAAAGTTATGAACGATTTAAACCTCAAAACAGCCCAAAATCGACTACTTCCGATAGTCATAAAAGGCGTCGGAATTGGTTTTAGACAAAACTTGATAGTGCATCTTGTTCAGAAAAAAATTCTCTATAAAATGTCCCATCTTCTCCAAAATCATTGAAAAGTTAGAAAAATTTTATAAATTGGGTTTAAACCACCTAATTTTACAAAAATTTTCAAAATTCCAACATTTTTGAGTTAGGTACTTTCGAGAACTGGCTATTCCGCAAAAAACGGTTACCATATTCGGAATCAACGTAAAATTCTGCACCAGATAGGCTTGGTCCCATGCCAAAGTTCCGACGACACTCAAAAACGTCTCCTTGTAAGCTAAAAATTGAGACATTTCAACAGCCATTGTTGAGGAATGGAAGAAGTTGAAAGATCGTCTAAAACCTTTAGGCGGGCCAGGTAGCAGAGATCTTTATGGAATCGGATAGCGTAGTATTTATGCTCATTAATGCAACATCACCTTTGCTAAAGACTGGATGTGGCAGGCTAGCGGTGATCCTTGAGGAATGGAATTCATGGGTATGTTAGCTATTTGAAGCTTTCCACGCCGAGCCAGCTAGCAGTGATTTTTGAGGAAACGAGTAGCGGAGAATCCATGCTTATTAATAAAAGATATTGCTATTTATAGGCCGGGTACGGCAGGCTAGCAGAGATTTTTGAAGAAAATGTTTGACCTTTTTCTCATGAAAGAGCAGAGATTTTTGAGGAAAGCGTTGAATCGACTTTTAAGCTCGTTAATTAACGACTTGATTTTGGCAAGCTAGCAGAGATTCTCGCACGCTTTTAGGGCAAATAGACATAAACTACACTACCATCCGCCATGGACACACCCGTTTTTTGTATTGTTTTGTCGCTCAGGTACATTTACATCAATTTTTAGCCCCCTAATTCCAATTTCGGGGGCCGACGCATGCAGACGGCTAGCCCGCAAAACCACCCAATTACATTGGTATTTGGCGCATCGTGGAAGATTGACGATAAGTCAAGTTCAGCATGGATACGGTAATCCAATTTGGGAATTCCGAGATGCTCCACGAAAAACTGTTCAACCGGAAGCTGGAGAAGCGGGCCGCGTCTGGCAGTCTGACGTAAAGGTCAGCTAATCGCATTTTTTGGCAGCGCTTTCCCCCCGGGACGCGCTCATCCGGATTACGGTAATCGGTTTGAAACTCGCCGAAAAATCATCAGGATACGATATATTTATATTTTCGAGGCGCATAAAAGCATGCATGACGGGGATGGATTTCACGCTGGAAAGGACGCGGAATTACTCAGAGTTGCGCAAAAGCCGAAAAGCCAGGATTTGGCAGTATTGTCGCGTCAACCTCCAAAATATCAAGCCGATGATGCACTTTTGTCATGTATGATCGACCCTGATTCGCAGTGAAATATCTGGAAAAAAGCCCGAAGAAGATGATTTTTTGAGGAAGTTCGTCATTTCTGTATAGGCCCCGATTTGCAGAGAAATATTAAGCAAAAAGGAGGAAGAAATCATTTTTTTAGGTTGGAAAATTCGAGCGGAAGCATTAAATGGATAGGCCAGGGATTTTTATGGATTTTTACGACAATGGATTACCAAAAAGCCTGCGTCGTGCCTCGCTCTCACTCCCTCTCTCTCTCTCTCTCTCTCTCGCTCTCTCTCTATCTCTTTAACTTTCTATCTCTCTCGCTCTCGCTCTCTCTCTCTCATTCTGGCTATCGCTCTCTCTCTCTCTAGCTTTCGCTCTCTCTGGCTCTCGCTAGCTCTCACTCGCGTTGTTTCGTTTTCTCGTCTTCTCGTTGTCTCGTTCCCCGTTGTCTCACTCTCTCGCTCCCTCTCTCACTCCGTCTCTCTAGCAAAGATTTTCGTACTTACATCTCCCGAACAACCTCAACAACCATGTCTCAAACTCGAATCTAGCAGTGATGTGTTTGTTTCCAAAAATTAGTATTAAGATCTCCCCTAGACCGGATATCCGTCGAAAATACGAGTTGTACCCTACTGAAAAGGTCCGCCCGAAAGGTTGCCATCATTTTTAAGTGGGGTAAGTTCACAATTCCGGGCGCATATTCTCGAATTCCGGACGCCCCCAATAAACATGGGGTGGCTGCAATCTTGGTTCTCATGTTTGGCCGATCAGATTAGGCGCTCCGGGATTAGCGGGCCCAAAATTTCAAAATTTAGACCCCCAGCTGTTTGCTACTTTTCGGGCGGTGTTGCATCCCCTAAAAAGTGCTCTTTGAGAGCAAGTAGAGGGTAAACAGCCGGATCTCGGGGTTGGTACTGCGCTGTTGCATGATATTCGGGAGTAAGTATGAATTTTTTCTAGGGTGAAAAAGTTCGGCACG